TTTCTCTTCAGTTTTCACATTTCCCTCTTCAGGAACTGTTCACCTCCTGTAGAGAAGGAAGCCGTGTGCCTGCAGCACAGCAGGCACGACTAGCACCAGAGTGAAGGAAGCCCACGTTGCTGACACGAGCCTGTTAACCCACAGACGGGCTTTTACTTAGTCTAGGAGGTCACCGTATCTCTCCAGAGTCTGCTCCTCCAGTTCCAACAGCTTCTGGTAAAACTTCTCAGCAGTTTCTTCATCCACGTCCATCTGGAAAAGAATAAGTAGTGAGAGGCTCCACAGCACCCCGAGCTTCACATCACCTACCACAAACCTTCCTGGCCTGCCCTAGGAGCTCCCAGCCCCCAGCACGGGACTGAGGTACCCCAGGAAGCCTCGCAGACAACCCCAATCCCTCCCCGTGCCCAACACGCGCCCAGTTCCTGCTCCAGGGCAGGACCACGGCCCAGCCAAGCCCCCCACCACAGCAGGCAGCCCCGTTCACCTTTCTGGGCTCCACGTAGTTCTTGCCCAGCCCGGAGGTACAGCTGTGGTACTTGGCGAGCGCATCCAGGTACTCTGGCTTCTGTTTGAACAGCCACACCTAGGACAAACAGCAGCGGAGCAGAGATTTAAGGGACGGGGTTTTCCCCCAAATCCTTCCCTTCTGTAGGCACCCGATGACGGGCACGAAGCATCCAGCACCCAGGGGCCAGCCCTGGCACTGCTGGTGCCCCGCGGCTCCCTGCTGGGAGGGATTCAGAGGGGAGATGCAGCACACAGCCTGCAGGCACTGAGAGCTCCCCAGGAGGGAGGGCTGCTAAATCACCTTGTGAACCACTTACATGGGCTTCTGCTCCATTAAACGGCGTCAGGGTGTAAGTCTTGGCAAAAAAGCGTATCTGAGGGGAAACGAAATACAAGGCAGAATCAGCGTTTCGGCCCAAGGTTTCTCTGACAAGCCCAGCAACACAAGATCACCCAGAAGGGGTAGAAAGGCTTTTAAAAGCCAGCTACAGGCCTCACCACCTGCTTGCGACCAGAGCATCCCTTTAACATCAGGAGCTGGGTTCTTGGGAGCCTTCCACCAAACCCAGACCCCACACCTCCAGAGGCAGGGTGCCCAACCCACACCCCGCAGATGCCTTGTCCCGGTGGTATCGGGATCGCGTAAGGCAGGAGGCAGAGTGGCAGTGCCACCAGCGCTGGAGGACACACGAGAAGGCACTGCCCTCTCCTCTGCCAGCCGAAAGGTGATCCCGCAGGGCCGGCTGCTGCCACGTGGGCAGCCCCAGCAGGAAGGCCCATCCTGCTGCACCAGCAGCAAGGCTGCAGGCAGGGCCAGTACTCAACCTAAAAGGCAAATCCTCAGGAAGACGGACAGGGACAGTTTGGGGAGGCAATAGAGAGCAGATGACTTGGTATTTTTCAGTATTTTTTTTCTATACCTTTACAAAGCAAAGCCTGCTGCAAAAGTGGACAGCATTTCAAGGCAAAAGGGACGAGTTTTGTCCTGAACTCTGCTGCCACTGACACCCAGTGTTTTAGAGGCCCACAGCACGCTGGCAAGGGGAGCTTGCAGGGCTGAGCTCAGGCTGTGTGTACAGCACTGCCCAGCAGCAGAACTGCAGGGAGGGCTCAGGGGAGCTCAGCTGGGAAAACCGAGCCCCAGGGTGCTAAAGGACAGGTCTGCAAGATGTGGCTACACCTGCTCTGCTTCTCCTTCCCACTTGTTCCTCAGGAGGAACCGACAGCAGAACAAAGACACCAGCAGGGCCCTCTGCCCAGCACCATGTGGGTGCAGTAAAGCCCCATCCTCTAACTCCCCAAGCCTGCTACGTAGCAGCAATAGCATCCAGGAGCACACAGGCAGGCTGCACATCACTTGCAGTGAAACACATCAATGCCTCAACCCAAATCAACTCCAGCACATGCCCCCACACCAGCCAAGAGCTTCACTCACCAGCCACATGATGGGCATGAGCAGCGTCCACAGAAACACTGGCAGAATTCTGTAGGTCATGTTGGACATGACGAGACCGGGACAAACCACGCTGGAATACAGACCCTGCGGAGAGGAAACACGGCCTGTGAGCACCCCAGAGCAGAGAAGGGAACATACCCCCTTCCCTCAGGGCACTTCCCAGCAGGACAGCGAAGGAGATCACAGAGAATAGCACATACCTGTGTCTCTGGGACTGCGAGAACCAGATTGATCAGACTGATTTTTGAGGGGTCCCAAATTAGAGGCCTTCACATTAAGTCTGTGCCCGTTACAAACCCACCACACGGCCTCCTGACACATCAGGACCTCATGCTGGTGCTCTACATACAGTTCAGCAGCCACCCCACAAGCCCACACAGTCACAGCAGCAGCTCTTTGCTCTTTAAGACCAGCTCTTTGTCTAGAGGGAAAGCTTTAGGAAGGTAGGACCCTCTCCTAAAAAGCTGCTACTTTCCTTTGGCAGTCTGAGAGCCCCCCCATTCAGTTCTTACGTGTGCACTAGAGAACAGATCTGATTGCTAGGAATTAATGCAACACAGTAGCAACAATGCAACGATAATTACAAATAGGAGGTGCTCATTAGCCTCTTCAGATGCACAAATCCCATCATCACCTGCTTATTAAGTTTCCTGTTGAGAACCACGCTCGTCAGGTCAGTGGCGTATTTGGAGGAACTGTATGATTCCTGCCCCTTGGCATGCTGATAGTCGGAGAGGCTGAAGGCAGATTCCCTGGCGTTGCTGGAAGAGGTCCAGATGAGCCGGGAGGGCTTTTCATTCCCGCAGAGCAGGGACTCGAGCTGACGAATCTGCAAGAGACGTGTTAGCCTGCTGAGCACACGCTTTTAAAAGCTTACGGTACGGTTTTACCGTTCTGAAGAGCTGCTCCCAGTCTTAGCCAGTCTTCACCAGACTGGCCGCACAGAAGCCAGCAAGCTCCATAAAGAGCCACAGCTCATGTGCAGCCTCAGCCCAGGTTTCCCCAGGAACACCTGCAAGCAGCTGGCATCCTTTGGCACAGCTGTTCAACACCTCAGCACTCAACAGAACCAAGCCTTGGTGTCCTCCCAGGACAGGGAGAGAACTACGCAAGGTTTGCCTCTCTCCACTGACCACAGGAACCTTCAGATCGCATTACCCCTTGCAATGATGGCTCCGCCACCACTTGGAGCTATTTTAACAAAGCCTGAGACCTTTGTCCTATCGTTCCTTGTGTCAGGCTCCTGCCCGCAGCAGTGTCAGCAGCTGTAAGGCAGAACTGACCCCTCAGCCCCCACCGTGCCCATCCCCAGCCACATCAACCAAACCCGCAGCCCGATCTTCACACACAGCCTCACCAGGATAAAGTGCCCAAAGAGGTTGGTAGCAAACACCTCCTGCAGCCCGTCGCCATTCAGCCTGTCCGTCTGGGTCATTACGCCTTCCGCTGTGGTCAGCATGTGAAGCAGCTTCCTGCAAGCCGAGGACAGGAGTTAGAGAGGAATGAGACACAGAAGGGAAGCTCCACCATGGACAGAGACCCAGCACCAAGCCTAATGCACATGAAGAAAGGAGCCTGGCATCTATACTGGGCACCCGGCTATATCAGACCCCATGCCCTTCAGGTGCTGCAGGGCACCTCACCTGGCTGCCAAGCCCACCCCAAGCAAGCCCACACCTTGCACGGGGACGTGCTCCAGGGACAAAGGTTTTAAGCTGAACAAGAATGGATTTGGGTTAAATATAAGATTTTTTCATGGGGTTGAGGCACTGGCACAGGCTGCCCTGAGAAGCTGGGGATGGCCCATCCCTGAGGGCATTCAGGGCCAGGCAGGAGAGGCCTCGGGGCACCTGGACCTGGTGGGAGGTGTCCGTGCCTGGGGCAGGGAGGTGGACATGGCTGGTCTTTAATGCCCCTTTGAACCCAAAGCAGCCCGTGGGGCTGTGCCGAGGAAGGGGAGCAGGCCTTCAGGGCTCACCTCACCCCCCCCAACACCAGCAGCACCCCAACACCTGCTCCGTGCAGTAACCACCCCCGCGTCCCCCTACCCGGTCAGGAGGCCCTTCCAGAGGGCCTTGAAGTTCACGTGCGGGTTGGGCATGATGCCGGCGTTGAGGTAGACAAAGTCGAGGCGCTGGAACCTGTGTGGAGAGGGGAGCAGCAGGGTTAGGGTTGGGGTGGGCATGGGGACGGGACACGCGTGGAGGGGCCACTCACCGGCAGCGCAGCTCCTTCGCGGCACGCAGCACGGAGGCCAGGCTGCCCAGATCCACCTCCACGGTGGAGACCTGAGCGGCAGGGTGCAGCTCCAGGATGGCATCGCGCGTGGCCTCGGCCTTGAGGGCGTTGCGGCAGGCCACGCACAGGTGGATGCGGCCGTCCTCCTCCAGCAGCCGCCGGCACAGCGCCAGCCCCACGCCGCTGCGAGGGCACGACACGAGGAGGGGGGGGGTGGAAAAACGTTAGGGGCACGCGTGGGCACCCCACGGGGTCCGCTCCCCACTCCCGACCCGGTCCCGGTGGCACTCACCCGCTGGCGCCCGTGACCAGCACCACCCGCTCCATGCCCGCGCCGCGATCGCGATCTCCGCCGCCTCCCCCCCCCGTTTCCCCGCCGGCGCGCTATAACCGCCTCTTTCCCGCCTGACGTCACAGCCCCGCCCTCCGCCGCCGGCCAATCAGCGCGCGCCGCGGGGGCGGGGCCGCGGGGGGCGGTGGCGTGATGGTGGGCCGAGAGCTGGGGGGCGTGGCCAAACGAGACCCCGCCCACCACTATTGGCCACGCCCCCTAGGTCTTAGCCACGCCCACAACCCTTAGCCACGCCCACCCCCATGCCCTATAGGGTCCCATAGGGTCCCATAGGGTCCCATAGGGGTCCCATAGGGTCCCATAGGGTCCCATAGGGGTCCCAGGTCCCCTCCTCACCCCACCCACCCCTCGTCCTCCTCCCTGCGCCCCCCGCGGGCACCCCAAAGCCCCCCTGCTGCCCCCCGAGGGTCTGTCCCCCCCCAAAAAGGACACCACGAGGCCGGGTGATGGAGCGAGGGGCTCTTAGTGGGGTGGCCCCCGCCGGGAGGGGCCCCCCCAGAACACAGCGAGCGGGGCCCCGCGGGGCCGCAGCGACGCGGACGGGGCCGGCGAAGCACGAAGGTCCGCGTGGGGTGTGCGGCCGGGGGGCCCGACAGGGGTCCCCATAGGGCACGGGGGGCTCAGGCGACCCCATAAGCCGCGGTCAGGGCCACAGGGGGCCCTACTGTCCATAATTCTGTCCGTCTGTCCATCAGTCCGTCTGCGGGCCGGCAGCAGAGGCTGGATGCCATGCGGGAACAAGCACGTCCCAAAAATCCCCCAAAAGCTCCAGTTCGCCGCCCCATAACCATGCGGCTCCTGGTGTCCACTCCATCCCCGTCCCGCTGCCACCAGGAGCAGGGCTCAATAAATAACCTCCAGTCAGCCCGGGGCAGCGGGGGAGCTGCGGGGCCGTGCCGTCCCCGTCCTCTTTGGGGTTTTTCCTCCTAGGCTGTGCAGCGAGAACCTAAACCAGGGGGGGTCCCGTGGGGCCGGGCACAACGGGGTCACTCGTCGCCGGCTGGCTCGTGGAGCAGGCGGTGGATGTCCTGGAAGGAGGGACGGTCCTTAGTGTCCCGCCGCCAGCAGCTCAGCATCAGCTTATAGACAGAGTCCGGGCACAGCGCGGGCTGCGGGAGGTAGGTCTGGAAAAGGAGAGCACAGGGGGAGGGGGTTAGGGCCACGGAAATCCCATGGGGCGGCACCGAGCGGGTCCTGGGGGGGGAAAAACTCTCCCGTCCTGTCCCGTGCCCACCTGCCGGCCCTGGTCGCGGAAGAACTCCCCGGTGTTCTCGATGACCTGCTCGTCGGACAGCTGCGAGTAGGGCTGCTCGCGGCACAGCGTGAAGGTCTCCCACAGCGTCACCCCAAACGCCCACACGTCACTCGCCGTGGTGAACTTACCCTGGGTAGAGTGAGCACATCAGGGTCAGGGTGGGCAGCGCCATACCCCAAATACCCCGGGCTCCTCAAACCACCTCTGTAGGGTCTGAGCGTGGCCCCATACACCGCGGTCCCCCCCCCGCCTACCAGCAGGATGCTCTCCCAGGACATCCAGCGGATGGGCAGCACGGCGCGGCCCTGGATGCGGTAGTAGTCCCCGCTGTAGAGGTTCCTGCTCATGCCGAAGTCGGCGATCTTGATGGTGTAGCGCTTCCCCACCAGGCAGTTGCGGGTGGCCAGGTCGCGGTGCACGAAGTTGAGGGAGGAGAGGTACTTCATGCCCGAGGCGATCTGGCTGGCCATGAAGCGCAGGTCGCGGTAGCTGGGGACACGGCGGGGCACTGAGGCGCCGGGACGGAGCGGGGCCAAGGCCCTGATGCCGGCCCCAAATCCCCCCTCCCCGTCCCCCCTGGGGCTACCTGACGGTGGGCGTCTGGGCGTCCGGGGGGCTGTGCGCCTCGTGGCGGGCCAGGAACTGGTTGAGGTCGCCGTTCTCCATGTACTCGGTGATCATGCAGAGCGGGTCGTCCGCGATGCAGACGGCCAGCAGGCGGATGATGTTGGGGTCCTTGAGCCGCGCCATGATCTTGATCTCCTTCAGGAAGTCGTTCCTTGCGGGGACAGAGAGCGGGGGTCAGGCGGCACGTGGGCTGATCCTTTTTGGGGTGTGCGCAGGGGCTCGGGGAGCAGTTTAGGACCAGCAAGGACCAAAGCCCCGTGGGGAGGGGGGCCGGTACCTGGCGTTCTTGTTGGCGTCCGCCCGCAGCATCTTCACAGCCACCAGCACGGGGCGGTTGGAGCCGGCCTCCAGGCCCTGCAGGGCCAAGTCCTTGTCCGTGAACTTCTCCATGCCCTCCACTTCGCACAGGTGGACCTGCGGGGGCAGACGTCACCGCCACCTCCCGCGCTCCCCCCTCCCTCCAGGCCCCAGTTTTGGGGCGAAGGCAGCGAGCAGGAGCTCCCTGCACCTCCCACCCCAACCCCATCGGGGCCCCGCTCCCCCCTCACCTCCCCAAACTGGCCCTCCCCCAGCTTCTCCTTGAAGGTCAGCAGCTTCCTGGGGAACTCCTCCACGGCCACGTCCTTGCCGGAGAGCAGGTCCATGGTGAGGGCGGGCACCGAGTAGGTGTTGCCTCCCGTGACGCCCTGCAGGTTCACGATGTCGGCCTCGGCGTAGTGGGGGACGCCCTCGGGGACGGCGGCCGGGGACGGCTTCACGAGGCCGCTGCAGCCTGGGGGAGACAGCGGGGCCAGCCCTGCCGCGGTGTCCTTCAGAGCTGCAGCACCACGAGGACGGGCTTCAAGCACCAGCTTCGTGGTGTGCCCCCCCCCTGGGAGGATTTCCCCGCTCCTCACCCGTGTCCTCCTCCCCCGGCGTGAATTCGGGCAGCTTGCGGATCAGGCGCGAGGGCTCCTGGTAGTCCGGCCCCAGTGGGAAGATGCGGTCGTAGGTGGAGTTGGACTCGTGCTCGCTGGACGAGGAGGAGCGGTTGTGGTTGAACATGCTGGATTCGCTGGGCAGCGAGAGGCTGACGGTCATTTCGTCGTCCAGCATCCTCCGAGACGCCTGCGAGAGGGGGACAAGGGAGGGGACGGGCTCGGAAAGGCCACCAAGGGCTCAGCAGTGGCCCCTGGTGGGTCACCTTGCCCCTACAGGGATGAGTTTGGCGCAGACACCTCGGATATCTGGGGGCTGCGGTGGGAGCCCACCAGCCGCCCCGCACGCGCCCACCTTCTCCAGCATCTTCTGCCAGAACTGCCGCCAGAGGATGATGACGATGATGGCCAGCAGGATGAAGATGATGGCCACCAGGCAGCCGATCAGGATGCGCGTGTTGCTGTCGTCCACCTTCAGCGTGGGGTCTGGCAGGAGGGGACAGCGAGAGCAGGTCGTGCTGGGCCGAGGGGACAGCCCCCGCCCCCCTCTTTTCTCCCCTTTTGGAGCCCCCCAAGCATCTCCCCACAGGGAGGTGACCCCAAGCCCTGCCCGGCTCAGGGTGAGCGGCTTTCCGTTGCCTTACCATACGTGGTGGGGGCCATGGGCATCTCCGGGGGGGCCACCGAGTTGTTGTACATGGCTGCGTCTGCCAAGGGAAAAGAAGAGCCCGTCGGGGTGGGGGCACGGGCACCCCCAGCCCCATTTCCCCACCGAATGCCCCACGCAGGAGGGATCCTGGGGCCGGCAGCAGGGGGCTGTCAGCGTGCCGGTACCCGACTGGAAGGTGATCTCGCTGAACATCATCCAGGTGTCGGCGAAGTAGTACTGGCACTTGATGGCGCTGGCCATGCGGTGCAGCAGGGGCACGGTGACGAAGCGGGCGCTGGGGTTGACGTCGTCCAGCACCAGCACCGAGGAGATGGCGTTGGGCTCCCACTCGCCGGCGTCGGAGCGGAAATAGCACTGCACCTCCTTGAAGATCTTCACCCCTTTGGCGAACATGTTGTTGCAGTGCACCTGTGGGGCAGCCCGTGAGCGCGGCCCGCCACGGGACGGGGACGGGGCTGGGGGGGGACGCGGGGCGCACGGACCTTCATGGTGGTGAAGTTCCTGATGCGGTCGAACTCGAAGGTGATCTCCACGTAGCCGCCGGCCGTGCTCTCGTTGCGCCAGCCCACGTAGTCGTAGCCCGGCCAGACGTGGTACTCGTGGGTCTGCGTGAAGTCGTCCAGCCCCGACACGCCGTCCGTCAGCTGGCCGAGCCCCTCCGTCATGCTGCCACAGGCGGGGAATTTGGGGAGCTCTCGTGAGCACCGGGAGCCTGATGGTGCCCAGCTCATGAGAGCAGCAGCCTGGGCACCTGACGGCTCCTCAGAGCCCCTGGAAGCAGGGGGACCCCATATCCTTGCAGCTTTGGCTGCACAAGACCCCGCTCCTCACCTGTACCCGAAGGCCCCGTCGTACACGGAGTCGTTCAGGTAGATGACGGTGCCGCCGGGGAGGACGAGCTGCTGCCCAGCCGGCGCGTTGTAGGACACCAGCCCGTCTGCGGGGAAGGGAGCGTGAGCTGCTCTGCCCCAGGGCCCCGCGCAGCCCCGATGGGACGGACAGACAGACAGACAGATGGACAGAAGGGAGACGAGCACCCCGGCACCCAGCACGCACCGAGCCAGACGCAGCCGTAGAGCTCCACGCGCAGGCAGACGTTCATGGAGTGGTCGGTGACGGGGATGAAGCGGACGAAGCGCGCGATGAGCGGCGGCTCCAGGTCCTTGAGGACGATGTCGTAGGGGTTGGTGTTGCCATCCAGGACCTGGGGAGACACAACGGCGGTGGGCACGGCCCCAGCGCCCCGCGGGGACGCCGAGGGATGCGCTCGGCAGCCTCCCCACCTGCTTCCCGTGCCGGTTCCTCCAGGAGATCCAGCGGGTGCCGTCCCGGCTGTAGTTGATCTTGTACATGGGGGCAAACTCGTTGCCGTGGCCCCCGGCGTGGCGGCCCTGGGTGCCCACCAGCGTGATGAAGTGCAGGGCGCGCAGGTCGATCTGCAGGAACTCCTTCAGGTCGTCGGGCTCCACCGGGATCTCGGGGCACCAGGCACCGTCACCGTCCTCCGAGTCCAGCCTGCGAGCACCATGGGGAGGGTGGAGAGATGGTTTGCAGGTGGGCAACGCTGTCCCCGTGCCCCCTAGCCGAGCCTGTCCCATCTCAGCACCCCCAAGGGTCCCCCCCGAGGGTCTCCCATTGCCGATGCCCCGCACTCACCGTCCGTACTTGGCGGCCGTGGACTCGGACCACTGGCTGGAGGCGGAGATGTCCTCGTCGGGGATGTGCCCCCCCGACATTCCCAGGGGGTACCGGCACACCGCTGCGAGGAGAGCGGGGTGCTGAGCGGGGTGCTGAGTGGGGTGCCCCCTCGCTCCCCATCTAGGTCACCTTTCCGCGCCGTGACCACCCCAGTGCAGCTGCAGGGGGGGCAGCATGCTCCATCCCCCCGGCTTGAGGAGGAGGGACAAAGGGTGAGGGGATGTCTCCGACACCTGCCTGGCGCTGGATGGGAGAGCCGCTGGGCACCAGAGGGCTCAATCCCGAGCCCCAAATCCCACCCGCAGCCGCCTGTCCTCAGCCGTGCCACCTCCCTGCTCCCCACCTGCCCCTGGCAGCAGGGGATGAAACCTGCTGGCCCCTCGGGGAGTGGAAAAGTACCCGGAGCGACGGGTGGGCTGCGCCCCCTGCTCGGCACCGCATCCCCACGGGTTATTTTTTCACGCCTGGCTGCCAGGAGAGCTGCTGAAAGGCCGGCTTGTTTGGCCGTGTTTACCCTCTCCCCGCCAGCTCCGGCCCCACAAAGCTCCCTCCGCAAACCGCCCCGAGGAAACCGTGCGGGGCCGCGGTGACACCGAGCACCCATGGCTCGGGCACAGCCTGCGGTGCGCCTGGCACCGCTCTCATCCCGTTCCCAAGCTGCAAACCCAGCTGGAGGTGAGGCCAGCCCTGCCTCCGCCCCAGCACCGAGCTGCCGCCGGGCTCTCACTTACCCGGGTTGACCTGGGCTCGTGCAGCCTGCAGGATGCAGAGCAGTGGCACCAGAAGCACCAGCAGGCACATGGGGAGGGCTGGCATGTCGGCGGCCCTGCAGAGACACGGCCAGGGGGGGTCACACCACTGCTGCCAACCCCCCGAGCCTCTGTGATGCTATTCAGGCACCCCATTCCTATGCCCCTGCTGCCAAAAGGGCCACGGGCACCACACGGAGCCTCCAAAAGCCCCCCTCGGGGTCAGCACCGTCCCGGATGGATGGGCAGACCCGCCGGGGGTGGTTGGAAAGCAGCACGTTGCACAAGCTCGGCCCGTGGCAGCGCTATCACGTTGCGCAGCGCGCTTTCCTTGCCTTCTGGCTGTGGAGACGTAATAGCAGGTAATTGCCCGAGATTGATGCCGTGTTTGTTTTGATGGTTCTCCGCTCCCGTGCCAACCTCGGTGTCACCAGAGGGGTGAGAGCCAGCTGCAGGCCGGCGGGAGCTGCCCAGGAGGAGGTGAGCACAGTTAGAGAGGAGCAGGAGGTGGGCACGGGGCACCCCCTGGCGCTGTTCCCTGCTGCTTTTTTCCCTGCTCCCAGCCCCAAAATCCTAGGCTGCAGCCCACGTTGCCAGCCAGCTGGGTCGCAAACGGGAATTTCACCTACAGAGCTCGGGGCTGGTGAGCAGCGCGCGAGGCTCCGCTGCTCACTGACGGATCCAATCTCTCCGGCCCCAAAATCTCAATTTCCTCCCGCATTCCAGCGCATATCCGCAGACATTTTTTCCCACTATTCTTTCAGGCTGAGTAAACTCTTTAGGCATCAGGGTAGCAGATGCTGCCACCTCCCCGAGGGAAGGGGCTCAGGTTTGGGCTCACGGAGGGGCGTTTGCTCCTGCTGGAGCGCTCGCGGCCGGGCTGGAGGCAGCGGGAAGGCGGCGCCGGGCGAAGGCGCGCATGGTCCGAGCAGCCCAGCGCTGCTGGCAGGACGGCTGGAAAGCGGTTTTGTTCCGCCAGCCCTGACAAAAAGGCTGGCTCTGCAAAGGTTCACCCGAAAAGGTTCACCCGAAAAGTTTTCCGAGTGCTGGAAATTGTTACTGCACGGCGTTTGGGGAGATCCTCCCTCAGGCTTCCCTGTTCCGCTTCCGTTTCTGTTTGTTTGTTTTGCCTTTTATTTTCCTTCCTTTCTTGTTCTACCGAAATTAGCAGGGAAAATTAAGGTGGGGAATGAATAAATAAACAAAACCCATGCTTGTTCAGAAACGAGCCCGCGGGTGCCGTAAAGCACACCCCGCTGCCGGGAAGGACGGCTGGCGTGGGGCGAGCAGGCAACCGGGGTGTGCCAAGGCCCGAGGCGGGCGGTGTTTTGGGTAGGGGGCCTGGCACTACAGCCCCCGGCGTGCCTGTGCCGCCGGCGCAGCCACTACAGGAGCAGAGAGCAGCATGCCGGGACGCGTAGTCCCCCTCCTCCCCCAAAATGCCATTTTGGAGCTCGGCTGCCTTGGATGCAGCCCCATTTTCTGGAGCTGCGAGCGTCTCCCCAGCCAGGGGCTCACCGCGGTGGCGCAGCGCGCGAGGAGCACCCGGTGTGTCCCCAGGGCCACCAGCCACCCCGGGGGGATGCCAAGAGCACGGCCGGGTGGTGGCAGGGCTGGGGACGTGGCCCCGTGGGCGCTGCACCCAGCACGGGCCCCCCAGGCAGCCGGGAGCTGGGGCCCTCCTCCCGCTGCGTGCCACGCCGCACGGCATCGCCCCGCCACGGCCACACGGCATGGGAAGCCACCAGCAGGTCCCCAGCGCCGGGATGGGGACAATTCGTGCCATGTCCCCGCCCCTATAGTGAGCCCGTGCCCAGCTCGGGGACCAGAGGGACAGCACGGCCACCGTGGCCGGCCAGCACCGCCGCCGGCTGTGCCAGCACACGCAGGAGGGAGAGGAGGAGACACCAGGAAACGCTGGCCAGGCGCAGAGCGAGGGGCGAAAACGTTGGCAGAAGGGGAAAAACGGAGAGAAAAGGCCAAGCGCCAGCAGCCTGGGCAGGGATGCTGCCCCACGCGGAGCCGCTGCTGCCCCATCCCCTCCTGGCCCCACAGAGGGACCCGATCCAGCTTTGGGGTCCCGGGCAGAGCAGGGCAGACCCTACATCCCCCCAAAACCCCAGGACGGGGTGGCAAGGCCTCCCCAGGGACCCCAAGAGACTCACCGGAGTGGGGAGGCGGCGGTGGGAGGGCGGGCTCCTCGCTCCTCGCCCGGGCTGGGGGAGCCAGGCGAGGAGCGAACTTCCCCGGGCTGATGCAAGATGCCTCTGCGAGCGCGCTCGCATTCTGCGGATTCCTGGGAGCCGGCCAGAAATCCCACAATCCTACATCTTGCACATTTGGTTTCAATTAGGGAGCGGAGAGGGGGGGAGCCAGTCACCAATCCAGGCTGGCTTTTCAGCGGAGGTTATTTTCCTCGACCCGAGGGAATGTGCGCAAAGCTATAATTTACAGCAAAACCCATTCATAGCGCGAGAGAAAATATAAAAAAAAGAAAAAAGAGACCTGTGGCCGGTGAGAGAGCTTAAAGCAATAGGCAGCGTTTTTCTTTCCACGCTCAACCCCGAGGCAGCAGGACGGAGTGCCCCGACCCTCCTCCTGTGCCACACAGATGAGGGGCTCCCCAAAATGTGGGTGATGGAGGAGTCTCCATGACCTCCCCGGTCCCCTCTCCGGGTGCCAACCCAGCTCAGGGCCCCCTGATCGCTCTGCAGAGCTCCTGTGCTTGGCGGTGCCGTGGCCGAGCCCCCTGCCCCATGTGGGGAGCGGGAGCAGCCCGGGGGCTCCCCAGGCCGCACGCTGAAATTTGGGTTTTCATCACACCGCCTCCAGGCAGCGATTCGGCACCGCGGCCACCGACCGCGCGACGCAGCACAGAGGAAACAGGAATAATGGGTTCGAATCATTTTTTGTGCAGTAGTTTAAAAATTAGTAGTATTTCTAACTGTTTTTTGCTGGATTTTGTGCCATGCGTCCGTGCTGGCAGCCAGGCTGGGGGTGCTGGTACCTGCAGCCCCCTCCCCACAGGGCGCACGGCCGGAGCCGCGCTCCCACACCAGCCCCTCCCCGAGCAGCGGCCCCAAAATCTCTCCCACCCTGCTGGGCACCCCAAGCCGGACCCGGACGCCCGCCTCAGTGCCGCCGCCTCGCTCCAAAACCCCAACCCAGCCCTCGCTGCCAAACTGCCGGCCCAGCTGGGCTGCAGACAAACAAATTCTGAGTCAGCTGCGCTGGAAGCCATCGGCTGCCCGGCAGGGTGCTGGTGGGGCGCTGGGGACCCTCGGCCCGGGCAGGGGCACCCCAAATCCCTTGGGGCGGGCAGGAGCACAGTGCCTGCCGCAAGGCTGTGCCACCCCACAGCCCCAGGGGGTCACCCCGCTGCGGGATGCCCCCGAATCCCCTACGTGCACGGCGGCACAGCCGCCAGCCCGCCCCGCTCGCCCGCTGCCACCTGGAATTAGCGCTGAAATAACTTGGCAGCGGGCTCTGTCCCAGGACCCTGGTGCAGAGGTGTCGGTGTGCAAACACAGCCCGGCGGCCAAGGCAAACACCGCCTCCTCCCCGGCCCTCCTCAGCACCCGGGGAGCCAGCGGAGCCCCCCCATGCACCCTGCAGACCCCTGCTGCTGCTGCTCGGGGCCATCTGCGTCCCCCCGGGTGCTGTGCCCTGCGCCCCATCCTGCTTTGGGGGCTCCATTCCCTGTGGTGGCCGCTCCCCGGGCCAGCAGAGCTGTGTGTGGGGACACAAGGGGGTGGGATGCAGACCACCCGCAGCACTCTGCGCCAGCCCCTGGCCCCTGTCCCACCCCATTTCCCCCTGGGACCAGCGGCCACCAGCCCACCCCAGCAGCAGCCAAGACCCCCCACACGGCCCTGTCTGAGCCCACGGCTGCCCAACCTCAGCACCCAGGGGACTCGGTGACATCCGTGGTTGAGATCTGTGCCCCGAGGCACGGGGACACCACGCAGGAGCCGCAGCGTCCTCCCACAAAGCCGCAGGATGCTGCCAGAGGGCACTGTGCCGGGCTGGCTTTGTCCTGCGCTGCGATGGAGCTGTGCACCTGCCTGTTCCTACCTGCCCGAGGCTTGCAGCCATTCCCAGGAACTCCCGAGGAACGCACAGCCCCGTTTTCCCAAGAAACACTAAAAAAAACATGCTTTGTGCCAGGGGGACCTGCCCACAACTCTTCCCCGGGCAGCCCTCCCCACCGTGCTGGGAGCTCAGCGCGGAGAGGTCGGGCTCCTGCTCCACGAGCAGCCCCCCTGCGGAAAGCCCCGGGCACAAACCACCACCAGGTGACAGACGGGAGGGACTCAGGGGTTTAATCAGGCAATTCCAGTTGTGCAACATACAAAGGATGAGCTAAAGGGAGGACACGGGCAATGACGAGAACCCTATTAAAAAAAATAGCCATGTAGATTCGAGAAAAATAAAAATTCAAAGATCACCCCCAGCCCCGTACCATAAAAATCCTCTGCATGTACAATGACTGTTCCTATATACACGTTTAAAAATAAATGCCCACAGCCTCAAGTGCAAAGAGCAGCACCGCAGCTGTGCTTCGTGGCAGGGGAAATCCATAAAGTGTTTGGTTTTTAAATTAAAATATAAATAGAAGCATACAGCGTGCCAGGAACCGAGCGGGCTGCGTCCTCCTCTGCGGGAGCTCAGAGGGAGCAGGACCAGCCCCCGGCAGCCCCAGCCATAAACCTTCATGTGTCCAGGGCACGGGGTGCCTGCCGCTACATCCCGTTCTTCACCAGCTCGTGGATCCCGTCCTCGTCGATGATCAGAGGGGCTCGGAACTCGCGGTCCTTCACGTACTTCTCCAGGCCCTGGCGGGGTGTGGGAAGCAGCTCGTTAGGATGCTTAACGAAGGCGGGCGCGCTCCGAGTGCTTAGGGTCGGAGCCCAGCCCCTTACCTCTCCGCCGTAGGAGATGAGGGGAGAGATCTCACACTGGATGGGCAGGTCGCTGGCGTCCTTCAGGCTGCGGAGAGAAACCCCCCCAGCATCAGCGCCTGCCCGCCGGGAGCCCCGCGGGCTGAGCCAGGCGGTGCTGCTCCCCGGTTAGTCAAGCCTCGCGTGCCGTGCCCTCCAGGTAGGTGCGAGCTAAGGTTTAGGTACCAGCAGCAGCTGAAAGGGAAGAGAGCTCGAGGTGCAGTTCCCCGGAGGATCTAGCATCTACCTGCGGCCCCAGAGCGCAGCCCCGCTGTACCCGGTGCCACAAGCGAGCCGCTCACCCCTCCTCCTGCTGGCTTCTCCTTGCAGGCTGACTGGGTTCGAGCTCATTTAGGAGCTGCATCCTTTATCCTGCATCCTAACCAGCATAAACCTGAGAGCGCTTGGAGTTCTGAGTTACAAACCAGGAACATCTCCACCCCAAAGCAGCAGGAGGTGCAACTGCTGGGGAAGGGCACGAAGGTGACAAGCTCGCTGCCCGTCCACTCTCACTTATCCCAGGAGCACACGCTAAGCTGAAGCCCCAGGTGTTCCCTGCGCCTGCTGTCCCAGAGACTGTTTTAACACTTCTTAACGCTTTCCAGCCTCTTCCCATAAATTTCCAGGTCCTCATTAGCCAGGGGCTTTCACCAATTTCGCAGCCTGGCTCGTCAGAGCTCACTAGCTGAAGTCACACCAACACAGCTGACCGCCCACGTTAAGATTCACATGTGCTACATCAAAGCCACGATCTGGAGGCCAGTTTGTGTTTTTAATCCCGCTCCAGGGGCCGGGCTGCCGGCCGTCTGGCAGCCACCAGGAGAGCAGCCACCTCCAGCTGCGGGACCAGCCGGGGTCGGAGCTGGCTGCGCTGCGTGACGAGCCTGGGCTGTGCTGCCTGCTGCTCCGGGAAGGAGAAAAAAAAAACTCCGGAGTGTTTCACAACAGCTCCCAGGCTGTGCTGCTGCCCACCAGCAGCAGGCTGCCTGCCCTCCTGCACCAAAACCGGGCAGCACAACTCCTTGGGGACACTGCTCCTCACGTCCTGCGGTGCTGGAGCAGCGCAAAACCCTCAGCCTCTGCAGAAAGGAGCCCCAGGCAGGAGCGGTGCCACCCATCGCCCACCTGCAGGAGCCTTCACGGTGAGACGTGCCCCGGTGCCAGCATGCGCCCCGAGCCCCCGTTAGTCCCCGGAGAGCTGCCCGGAGCCCGTTAGCCCCTGAGCGCAGCCCCGCCACCATGCACTGCAGCCCGGCTGCACGAATAGTTACTTGGCGGTGACATCGGCCGGGGGGGTGTCTGACCTTCCGTTTGGGAGGCTAGTGGGAATAAACAAGGGTTAACGAGGCTGGGATAGAGAAACGAGAGGGCAGAACGAGGCGGGGGCTGCTCTCCTCGCCCGGTGGGGTGCTGCGATCTGCTGGCTGCTGTGCCGGGCTTTGGGGAGCCACCTCCGGGCCGCACGGGCACCCCTGGCCGCAATGGAGACTGCAGGGTGCAGTTCCCAGGGCTTGAAACGAGAAGGGAAGCAGCTCCTGCGGGCCCACAGCTCCTCCTGCAGCTCACGCCCGGCTCTGCCCCACGAAACACCCGGGACAAGGGCTCCAGCGGTGCTGGCTGCAGGAGCACGGACGGGCTGGGCACTGCCTGGTGCTTTACAGCCAGCCCAAGGGGACGGAGGAGGCTCCTCGTCCCAGCAGCTATCACCCACGGGAAGGCAGAGGGTTTTGGGGGAAAGCAGGGAGAGCAGGGGCTCACCGCGGGATGGCGGGGATGCGCGTGCCATTTTCATCCACGAAGTGTCCCCCCGCGTTGAGGACCCAGCGGTGGTGCAGGGACATGAGGGCGTGCCGGGCCGTGGTGGGGTTGTCCTTGCCGTTCTGGCTGTCCGCGTTCTTCAGGGGAGAGAACTCGTCCTCGCGCAGCACCTCGTACACCACGAACTTCCTGCAGGACACAGAAGGGTCAGGGGCACGGCTGGGAGATGTGCCTGCTCCCTCCCTCTGCCCCTCACGGCTGTAGGGTCAGCAGCCCACCCCCCGCAGAGAGAAAAGGGCCTACTTGGAGAACTGGAAGATGTCGAAGACAAACTTCTCCATCTTGATGCCGTTGGGCTTCTCGGGCTGGACCAGCTGCCCCGTCTCCATGTCCACGTGCGGGATCTTCTTCTCGGCCACGTGGTGCTGCAGCTGCGGCTCGTAAGTGCTGCGAGAAGCCGAGAGGGGAGGGGGTCACTTTGGCACGCAGCGGCCATCCCAAATCTCACAGGAAGGGGACAGGCATCAGATACGGGGCAGAGCACACGAGCCCGTACTTGACCACGTCCTTCAGGAAGGCGGTGGTGAAGTAGTGGTTGGCGATGTTGCCGGCGTTGAAGAGCAGCCGCCCGTCCGCGCCCCGCTTCTGCGCGGTGGCCAGGGAGATCTCGCTGTACTCCACCACCTGGTAGACGCCGTCCACGCGGCACACCACGCCGACCGGCTCCGTGGGGTTGGTCTTCTCCACCACCTGCCCACGGGAAAGGCCCCGACACGTCCCATATATCCAGCGGCCCCCATGGGGTCATTTTTCTGAAAGCAGGGTTCTGGTGACGGTGGCCAGAGGGCGCGGTGGCAGGGCTGGGTGACGGCTGTCAGTCGCACCCAGAGGGCGCAGGCAGGACCTGGCAGCAGGCCCGCGTGTGGCAGGCAGAGGACACAGGTAAATGTTGGCAGGACACAGGTAAATGTTGGCATTTGGCCCCCACGTGAACAGCAGAGGGCTGCCAGCTCGGCACAGCCACCCCGACGCGTTACCTGACCCCAGTCAGGCCACCAGAGGCACGCGGGGCTCCCCTTTGTGCACATCTGGGTTTATTTCCTCCTCCTGCCACCCGGGCCAGAGGGAGGGACTGACAGCTTTCTGCCTCCCAGCTCACGCTCTGAAAGCTTCAAGGACAGCGAGCCCTGTCACCTGTTTGCCAGAGCCAAGCCCAACGCAAACACAAGCGCTCAGCCCCTTTCGCTGCCGATCAAGTAAAACTTTGGGCGTGCAACATCCTCCAGGTGGGGCACGGGGCCAGGCTGGGTGCCAGGATGGCACAGACGGGGTCAGTAACACCCTGCACCTCCCATAGCTCTTCTCTTGGATACAGGGGGACTTGGTGGGGAAGGGTAAAAAGGCCCAGGGAAGCCACGCAAGGAGCAGGGCAGCCCAGGAACAATACCTTGGCACCGCAGTCGGCTCCCTTCTCCAAGCAGAACCCGATGAACGCGGGGTCGGCCACCTTCACCAGGATGTTGTCCACGCAGTAGACGTGGACGCTGTGCACCCCCCTGCGCTCCATGTCGGCCACGATGCCGTGCGCCCCCAGGGCCCGGTACAGGCCCCCGTTACCATCTGTGGGGGGGGGAGAAGAAGGCGTTGGGGTGCGGTGACACACGGCCGTCCTGCTGAGCCATCCACACCCACCCTCCTCCTCCTCCAAATCCTCCCCAAAGCCGGGAAATGTGCTCAGCATGACGAAGGATCCCCCGCCGGGCTGCACCCCACCCCGGTCCTCCCTGCCAAAACCGACACCTCCCAGCCTGCGTCATGCTGCGAGCTGCCCCCCGGGAGCCGTCAGGGCTGAGAGGAGCGGGGAGCAGGGCGAGGGGCAGCGGGACACGCGGCCCTGGCTGTCCCCAAAACTCGCCCTCAGCCCCGCAGACCTGGCGCCATGGAGATCTTGCCCTTCTCCTCCAGCAGGATCTTGCCGTCGAAGCCCAGGGCGGGCAGCATGCCCTGCTGGAAGAAGACGACGTTCTCCTTCTTCAGCCCGAAGTAGCGGTGCTTTCTGGAAGAACTCCTGGGTGGACTCCATGGTCCGGCCGCTCGTCATGATGTACCTGGGGGGGAAAACACCCCAAAAAAACCCTGCTGGACCTCCTCCGAGCACCCCTGGGACCCCGGGCAGGGGGGTGGGCACCCAGGGCAGGGCAAGGGGGGACACCCAGGGCAGGGGAAGGGGGGACACCCCGGTCCATCAGCTCACCATGGGATGCAGCAGGGCTCCCCGTGCCGCTCCTCCGCCAGCTGCTGCAGCCTCCGCAGGCGCTGGGCCTGCAGGTGGAAGAGGCTCTTTCTGGAGGGCAGCCCCACGTCGCACATGCCCTTGGGGTAGGGGACGCCCAGGCGGGTGCCCTGCCCGCCGGCCAGCAGCAGGGCGCACACGCGGCCCCCCGCGATCTCCGCCAGCCCTGCGGGGACGCGAGGACACGCGTGGGGCCCGGCTCCGAGCCCCCCGCCCCGCGTCCCTCCCCCCCCGTCCCTCCCCGGCTCCTACCGCGGCTCTCCCAGCCGGGCAGCAGCCCGCGGTCCCGGGAGGCGCTGCCCAGCACGTCCCGGGGCACCGGCTCCATCCTCCCGTCCGGAGCCCCCTCCGCAGCCCCGCCGCCGCCCCTCGCCCTGCGGAAGAAGCGGTTGATCTCGGCCACGTCCATGCCCCGCAGCTCGGCCGCCAGCTCCCGGCGCTCGGCGCTGCCCAGCTGCGGCCAGAAGCGCAGCACATGGCCCTGCCCGCCCGCCGCCAGCCGCGCCGCCAGCAGCGCCCCCTCCTCCTCCGCCTCCATCCCGCCGCCGCCGCCGGCCGCGCCGCGCCGCCGCCCCCCTTTTATACCCCCCCGGCCGCCGCGCCGCGGCCAATGAGGAGCGGCGGAGGCCTCGGCCGCGCGTTCTCATTGGGCCGCCGGGAGGCACCGCCCACCGCCGCCGCGCGGAGGGGCGGCCAATGAGAGCGGCCGGGGGGCGGGGCCGGCGGCGCCATGGCAACGCGCCACGTCAGCGGGCAGGCAGAGGAGGGCGGGAGGCGGCTGCGGAGGGGGGGTTCTGCTGCGCGGCCCCACAGAGGGGGGGGCTGCAAAAACCCCACAGACAGTGCCAGGACCCCCCCCAAACCCCCTCACAGCGCTCCTCGCCCCCTCTGGACCACCCCTAGAGGATATGGGAGCTGAGGAACCACGGGGAGCTCGGCTTTACCCAGCCTCTCCCTGAGCAGGAGCGAGGCCAAGGGTGGGGAGAGGTAAAAAATCAATAAACAACGATAAATAAACAACAATAAATAAACAACAATCAATAAACACCACCCCCAACCCCAAAGGAGCATTGCAGACACACAGGGAAAGGCGTCCTCCTGCGCCCCGTCCCCCCCAGGCAGCCCCCAAGCCCTCCAGGCGATGACACGCACACCCAGGGAGCCCCCCATAAGATGGCAGAAGCAGGGGTTTGTCTCGAAGCATCCTTTATTGATCACCGGGACCGAGCACACAACTGCCTGGCACAGGGGGAAGCTTTAGGAAGGCGGCTGTGCCAAGCCAGGGCTCAGCAGCACAGGTTTAACAGGGCTGGGTGGTGGGCCGAGACACCGGGGTGAGCGTCACAGCCTCCCTCTGCCAAGCTGAAGGCAGAGGGTGAGGGATAAATCCTTCTGCTCCGAGGAGTTCCTAAACTTCCCTGTTCCACGCTCCCACAGCTTGCAGGGAGAATCCTGGACCCAGTGACGGGACAGGGATCAGCAGCCTCACCTCTAGCCAGGAGGGCCAAAAAAAATAAGCTCTGTGGGTTGTTTGTTGCTCCATTCAGTGCTCAGGGCTGGTCAGCGAGCATCCAGAGAGCAAACACGGTGGCAGGAGTTTGCATCTTGCAGATGTACCCAGTTCCTACTGAAACAGCTGAACAAAACCCCAGCCAAATCCTGGGAGAGCAACTTCACCGTGCTGCAGCTCCTCTCCAGGGATTAATCCCGGCACGGCTCTCGTCTTCAGCTGAGCATCAGCCCCGAGGCACACAACAGCCAGCTTGGTGCTGCTGACAGTGGCACTGAAGATGGATTTTGGGCCACGGCGCTCCTATCGACGGCAAAGCCTGCCAGAGACAGCACCAGCTCGGAGCTGAGGAGCTCGGTCACTGCCTGGCCACGATCAGAGCGCTGTCAGCAATCTCACCGCTGCTCTTCACGGAGAGAAACCCCTCGCCCGACTGATTGTCCGACTCCTTCCAGGTGCTAAAGGTGCTTCGCCGCAAGGACAGGTAACTGAACAGCACTGGATCACACAGCCCACCTGCGCAAAGCTGCTCGACAGCTATGTACACCGAAGCAGCATCGTCCCGGGAACAGCCTGACCAGCAAATCAGACCTCAAAACTCACTGCGGGATTTTTATTATTATTATTATTATTATCATTATATTTTTTTTCCTGGAAAATTCTACCATCTCAAAGGCGACAAGGGAAATTCGAAGGGATTGGTCCTTTCTGGGGAAGGCTGGCAAGGGCGACAGCAGACAGGACTCCACACCAGCAGCAGACAGGACTCCACGCCAGCACGGACACCCGTGAAATGCTACAGACGTCGGTTCTGCACGCATGCAGGCGGGGCAAAATCCAGGAGGACCACTTAAGTGCAGGATTCCAGCAAGTCCAGCCTCAGCTAGATGCGAGAAGTAAACCACGAGGACGTAAACTGCAAGGTAACTGGGGTTATTACTCCAGGGCAGGGCAGAGGCAGTTTAGGAGCTGCCCTCAAGTATTTCAGCAGGGTTCGAGATCTTCTGCCTGTGCTTTAGAGCTGCGTGAGCAGGGAGAGCGCTCGGGGGGAGCAGGGATGCTGCTCGCCCAGGTCCTTGTCCCAAAAACCCACCGTGGACACTGGGAAAGACACGAATCCGGCCAGGTAAGCCTGGTTACCGGCCCAGCCCTTTCCAAACAGGATCTCAGATTGCCTCAGGCCCTTTGTGTCACCTCTGAAGGACCAAAAGTGTCAGTGCTTCTAACCTACGACAAGTCTAACGGGTTAATGCAAAAAAAACAAACTGCACAACACGGAAAAGCCAAGCGTGGGACCTACAACAGATAAATATTTGTCATTTCTCCTAAGACTCGCAGGCAGAAGTCCTGCTGAGACACAACGAATACCGCGCGCCGCCGCACTCCTTTCCAAAAATATCACCTACAGACACGCACATACTACGGAGGATTTGGCATCAGAGCTCGGAGCCTCAGTGCTGGCGCAGGGTACAGGCTGGGAAGATGACTCCACGCGACACAGCTTTCACATCACCTCGGGCTACAAAGTGCTTCCAGGGTGTGTTGGGACCGAGGCCGGCGCCGCTCTGCTGGTGTCCATCCCCAGCCAGGCAGCTCCTGCCCACCCGGGCACCCAAATTTGGCTCACCACTGGCTCGCTCCCCGGGCCCAGCTTGTGCCAGGAGAGGCTGCGTGGCTCAGGCAGATCTGATTTCACCTGCCTGCCTTCTGCTCTGGGGGATGCGAAGGCTCAAAGCCAGAGCCTTTTGCTCTCCCCAGAGCGAAACAGGGCACTAAGGCTGATGTTCCAGCTCTTATTTCCAGCGCTCCCGAGTGCTTGCCACGACCTGCTCTGCCTCCCAGGCCCCCACGGTCACCCTCGGCACCCGAGCGCCTGCCAGGGGCAGGCGAAGCCACGCGCCTAGTGTAAACGAGCAAGCACGACACACACACACACACAAGCACACGCGTAAAGCCACCCAGGCCTCCTCTGCACATCACAAAGCAGCAGTAAAGGTTTCAAAGCCCCTCTCAGTCCTTCGCATCTCTTCGTTAGGGATGACTCAGAAGCAGGGCTAGGAAGCTCTTTTGTACATTCAACTGTAAAACACGTGAGGAAGAGGAGCGAGACAACTCTCCTGATTGTTGCTACTGCCTACAGCAAGTTTTGGTACAGATATCCTCTCTTATAGGCACTCAGTGGGTAAAACGTAGCCACAACAAACTTGCCATCAAAAATCTTTCCAGTCAGCATTTTTTGGGCAGCTTTGGAATCACCAGCATTTGCATATTCAACAAAGACCTGAAAAAGAGAGAGGAAAAGTGAAGCCTCCAGGCAGCACGGCCACCCGCTCCCTCCTGCCCCTGCAATTGGGGAAACAGCTCCTGAGCAAGTTTTTCCCCTTTATCCTTGGTTGAGTCCAGAGCAGTGGAGCTAAAAAGGAAGAAGATGCATCTCTGAACTGCAATTTTAACTCTCGTCTGGGGCCCTCCCAGGTTAGGGAACCCTGCATAACCAGGCAGGAACCTGCGCTGTCCTTCAAGAGGCCCAGATATTTTTAGCACTGTTGTCAGCCAGGAGACTTCCAGAAGCTGAGCAGCAGCCCTGCAGCACACAGCGTCCGTGGGAATCGCACGGCCTCTCCCCTCCCTTCACTTACTTGGCCTTTACCAGGATTCTCCTTTGGAATAAGCAAGGAAACCACCGGTCCGTATTTCTGACACTCCTCTCTGATGTCTTCCAGGATATCTGAGAAAGAAAAGAGCCGGTTGCCTTTCACGTTGCAAACTAGGGTTTGCTAAGAAGCAAAAAAAAGGCCAGATGAACACCTCAAGACCTTTCAGTCAACACAGCCTTTTCCTCTCAATTTAAAATAATCAGGGAATATCACCGCAGAGGCTGACACTGCTGAGCAGCCACGTAACAGGACAGTGTCTGACCAGGGACACACCTGCAGGCCGTGAATCCCTGACACCAGGCCTCGGGAGCACATAGACAGCGAGTCCTTCCTGCTCACAAAGCCTTCCAGTAGCCAAAACATTCAGGATTTGTGACTTTTGTAGACCAGCAAACTTCTGAGGATCCTGTTCCTGGGCTCCACAGAGCCCTGTACATGTTCAGCAGCAGCTCAGAGCCACAAACACATCACAAGCTCTGTGAGCATTTAACCAGAGAGGAAAATTAAAATCAATCTTCTTCAACATTTGAGATCCTTCAGGAACTCACTACAAGCTCTGCTCTTTGGCTCAATCTTTCAGCCTTAGCCTGTTCCCTGTTAGTGCAGCTGACCCTCTAGGTATCAGAACTCAGCTGAGAAGCCCTTTGGCTACTGCTCTTGTGTCTATTATTTGCTCTTCTGCTTGCTCTCTCACCCCAAAATCCAAACAAAGCAGTGAGATGACCTTGCTACACGTGACTGGCACAGCACACACCAACCTTCATATTCCTCTTCGCTCTGCAGAGAAGCATCGCTCAGAACGTTTAGCAGCCTCAGCACAGGCGTGGGGAGCATCACCAGATCTTCGATATGGGGAGCTGCGTGACACCCACAGTTAGAGAAAGGAAATCAAAGGAGCAAGAAAACATGAAGCTGACTCAATACACACAAGAACTGACTGCTCTTTGCAGTAGTTTAGCTCTGCTCCATCATTACCTGCATTTACAGGTAATGCATTTTCCCCGTTTCCAACTTATCTTTGCCTGCAGTGCTAACAGGCTCTCCCAAAGGATTCAGTGTACTCTGCAATTATACCGAGGCTAGCACCTGAAATTGCTTTTAAAATTACAAAGCTAGGAGCAATTAAGACTAGAATTATGTCTGCCTAGCTCACATTTAGAATTTGATGTGACCTCAAGGGCTGTGGTAGTTGAGCAAACTATCTTTTATACACGGCGATGCAAGAAGATGAAAGAACCACTGTGTAACCTTGCTCCTCCTGTTACCTGGTTCCAGCCAAGCTGGGAAGGGGCCAGAGAGCTTCTGTAACTTCAGTTCTTGAGGACCTGAGCCTCAGCTGACTCTAGGTTATACTCAGGTTCTTCCCTAAACACTGTGTGAAACCCCACCATCAAAAGCCAGCTGCAACATGGTGTTTTGAGAGCACCTTACAAGAGAAAAAGAAAAATATTTAGCTACTTGAGGCAGTGCTACGGACTAAGTCAGTGCCACACAAGGAAAGTGGGTGAGCACTGATCCTGTGAAAGGCTTTACAGGAGCAGAAATGAAGCCCACGGCCACAGGACCCTTGGCAATATAAGATCTGGGAGCCCAACTTGCAGTGCTTCAAGAGCAGGAACATACCTTTACTTGTATCAGCCACCTACAGCAGCTGAATACAACAGCAGGGCTCACAGGGTCTCACATTTGGAAATGAAACAGGGAGAGAAAAGGGAAGAAATGGCTCCGGTTCTCCAGCCTGAGCCCTCTGACTAGCTTTGCAAAGACAGCAGGTGATTGCTCCCTTGGAAATACTTTTCCAAACTAAGCACACAGCGTACAAGAAGCTGACATCTTTGCCCTGCACAGGCACAGCCTTGATTTCACAGGGCAAGAGGAGATGACAGTCAAGTAACACGCTGTAAATCTTCTACCGTGTGACACAGGAGGAATCCTAATGAGAAGCCTGGAGGATGAAAGGCCTTATCTAGACGATGCCCAGGCAGCACTCAGGAGCATCCCTTCAAAGAGAGGTGTCACAGTCGGCTCACGGAGAACTGCCGTGACCATTCTTCCTTAGGACTGTTGGCAACCCAGAGATAGCATCAGAGGAATAGGGAACTGAAACGCATTTAACCATTGCCTCGGCCTTACATGCAGCTCCTTTTACTCAAGTACATCTGTGTCTTTCTCAGAGAAGGGAGACAAACCAACCCTTACAACTCAGAACCATCTGTCTTCCTATAACTAAGTGACAAATGCACTTGCAACACCCTTCTGTCCTAGGAAAAACGTTCTGCCCAGCACCTCTGCTCCCATTCAGAGTCCCAAGTGACACCCACTGCACTGACAACACAGCTGGCTGCAGCCTACAAGCAGCTCAGGAAAGAAGCTGAGTAACTGGAAAGTCACGTCTTGGCTGGAAACGACAAGGAAGGCCGTTCTCAGCTGTCTTTGCTCTAAACAGAATAACTGTGGCCAAGTGAAGGTAGTGACAGCTCACATTCTGACTTCCTAGGAAAGCAGCAGTGAATGCTTCTTTGTGCAGACACTGCTTACGTGTAAGCTAGGCAAAGGAGAGAACCGGCAACTAAAGAAAAATCGAAGCTGTTTTATGAACTTGTAGCACTACCCACAGAAGCACCTTCCTAGTACAAGAGGGTACAGTTAGAGGTCTGCGTGTTTAAAACAAGATGTGGAAGTACTGCCAAAACGCTGCTCCCTCTGCTCTACAGCAAAACTGGCAGGAAGGTTCAGCTCCTTCCATGGAAGGTGGCTTTGATTACAACAGCCCCAGCTTCTGAAATGCAAGAGCAGTTTTAAAACCAGGATGAGCTGATTACCTTTGCCAGTACAAAGGGATGCCAACATCTAGATGCAGCCTTGGAAGCTACGATATTTAACAGCCTTCACTGCAAGCTACACCAAGCAGCTTAGGAAAAGCAAGGCCTGAAGAGAAAAGACTAGCCCAGCAAGAAGCTGGATGCCTGAAACGTTGACTTATGCTGCAGAAACGCTGGATGCAGAGGTCTTTGCCGGTCCTCTGAGAGCCAGCAAGCTCTGAAGAATGCTGCTGTGGTGCTTTTGGAACAGAAAATGGGGAGGGATAGGAGCCTACACAGGGCAGTCCCTGCCCATCTTTTGCTGACAGTCTGCATGGGGGGCTCTGGGGGAACATGCAGTCCTGAGGGAACACCACCTTTCTCCTCAAGTGAAGAGGAAGTGCTAGATCAAACAACACCGACAACTGCCTGACCTGCCATGCGGATGTGAGGAAAGGCAGGCCCTGACGTCCTCAGTGACTTTTGTCACTGCAAACGTAGGCTCACACTCTCCTGGACAGGCCCCAAGACAGGCTGCAGCACCGTGAGAGCACACCGGGACTGCTCGGCCTGCAGCAGCAGAGGCACCCACCAGCCACTGCCCTCCTTGCTCCCATTCCCAGCTTCTGAACTGTGAAACTCTGAGCACATAAAAGCCATCAGCCTCCCATAAATTGCTCTGCACTCTTCAAATGCACCTTAACGGTCATAAGGCCAGCTAAGTGCCCTGTCTATGTCTGTCCCCCCACCTAAGGTTGTCAGCACACCCTTGGGCAGTTCAATCTGAGCAGGATTTAGAGGGAGTCCACCAAGGAAACGTGGCAGCCCACACGGCCACAGGAACAGGGCAGCACTGAGAGCAAGGGCAACGTCTGACCTGGCTACCAGAGGGCTGAGAAGTGCCACAACACCAGGGAGCAGCAGCGAGGATGAAAGCAGGAGCAGTTGCACACCCCTGCTGCTCCCAGGATATGCTGCCAAAGCTGCGAGCGGGGCCCATGTGCACAGCTTACCAAAGGGAATGCTGAAGAACGGGCTGCATAAAGCCTTTTCAGCGGAGGCTCGCTTTCCTTGGTCACAATGAAGCATGCTGCAAGAGAAGAGAGATCCTTATGCTCCTGCATGTGACATTCCTGCATCCAATTCACCTTGGGCTGGCAGCCAGCACCGAGGAATAGCCTAGCTTTCGGGTGCTTATGGTACAACGAGAACAGTCAAGAGCACATCTTCCAATTCACAGCTTAAGCACACCAGAAGGATCCTCTGAGAGCATTTCAAGTACATAATACAGGAGGTTTTGCTTTGAGATGTCTTTCAGCACCGAATTATGGGAGTTGCTCATTAGAATTTCAGAACGAACACTGCATGTTCCAGCTCCACCTCTCCAGGCCACTCTGCTCCTGTCTCAGACACACATGCAGTCTCATAAAAGCCATCATACTTCAAGAAGCTCCCACATCTTGTCAAAAATGGGATTCAGAGCAGCTAATAATACAGGGCCAATGAAAGCACAGCTAATATAGCTAATGCTTGCACTCGTGACCAGCATAGTGGCAAGGACATTAAAAAAAAGTGGTAGGTGTGGGCTCCGAAGCACAAGACTTCACGGGGCACATCTTTAAGCAACGCTTAGTAAATGCAGGAAGATACCTTTTGATAAGGTCTCTGAGGTGATAAGCTGGAATGGCTGAATTAACCACCCCTTCACTGGCAAAAATGCGGTCGATGATGGCAGAACTGTTTGCCTGGGAAGAAAAATAAGTGGTAATTAGGGCTGAAAGGAAATAGTAGTGCAATAGTAGCCATCATCTGTGCACACGGTTCCTCTGTCTGTGCGGCACTACAGCCAGCATAATTAACTTCCAGTTAATTGGGGAGACACAGGCTCTGAACACAGAAACCTGGAGCTGTAGGATTTCAGCAGCCTGAACACAGGCAGTGTTCAGACACGTCAGTCCCACAGGGCAGGCAGGTCTCTAAGGCTTTGAAGCCTTAATACCCAGGACAATAGGATTATAGACACATCAAGGAAACGCTCTCTAGTTGCCAGGTGCTACCTTACAAATCCAAGGTGCACACAAGCAGCAGGAGGACTTGCCTGGCATAAACAAGGACGCCCAGAGCAGTTCTCTCTCACCTTCCATTCCTGAGATTGGACTGTATGTTTCAGTTTCATTCCTGAGAACATTTCCAGTAAAACGATTCCCAGACTCCACAGATCCACAGCAGAGGTACACTCCGTCTCGCTCTGGAGCCCTGCCTGTGCCAGGCAGTTCTGCAGTTCTGCCTCTGGAGCCCGATACCCGTCTGTTTGAATATATTTCACATCCTGCAGAAGGCCGAACAAACACAAAGAGGTTAATTTTGCAGATCCAGGCTCTCTGCTCTAACCTTAAATCAGTTTACAGGGGCAATTTCTAACGGGTCACCAAAATACCGCTGCTGGCTTGACAGACAGCACCGCGCCAGAAGGGAGTTCGTTCAGCCTGCTGTGCTGCTGTGTTGATGAAGGGGAAAAAAATAAGACTGGAAGAGAAAATATCCTCCAGCTAAACAGCAGCCACCCCACGAGCATCCGAGCTCTCTGAACGACAGCACTGCCTGCAGGAAGAGGCTGGACGTGACAGTGGAGTGGCCTGTTAACCTTGTGTGAGCACGGAGGACACCGGGAGCTTCAGGATAAGGGTGGTGCACCCACAGCACGCTCCCACATCAGCTGGACGAGCACAAAACGCTCAGAAGGAGCGGTGAGGATCAGTAACAGCTTCCATTATTCAAGTGCTGCTGCTGTTCTCTGGAACACAGCATCACAAGAACGAAGCAGGCATCTAACACTCAGACAAGGAAATTATCAAAGGCGCTTCCCACGCGCCTCTTCCTCCTCTCCCCTTCGCAGCGAGAAGTGCTGCAGCAATCAATACCTGCTCGGCTGCTGTGGCTGGCAGAGGCAAATACCCACACACTGTCTGATGAAAAGAAAACAGCAAAATCACAGAATCACACGCGGGCTGATTGGAGAGGCTACTCGGAAGGTCTCCAGTCCGACCTCCTGCTCACAGCCGATGCCAGATCAGTCAGCCGTGGGTTCGTCAAGTCCTTTGAATGCCCGGTGATAAACTGGATGCTGGATCTTTCTGATATAGGAGGGCTCGTTTCAAATGCCCTGATGTGACTCGAGGAATGACAGAAGAATATACAAGCTTACTTCCTGAAGAAGGCACAGGATTGTGAATTCTTAGCCATGGAATATACTCAAACCAAAATTAGCTGGCTCTCCAATCGGAAATAAAGACTACAAAAGACATTTTTGGGCAACAGAGCTTAAAATTGTTTCATAAACCAAAAAAAAAAAAAAACAGATACACAAATTGCTTAGTAGGGTACTGCCTCCAATCAGCAAAGAGCAAAACCTCGGGCATAGTGAAAGCAGCAGTTTGGCAGCCCCACCAAACAACACTGAGACACGGAAACATGCCGTGGTCAACGCCACCAGCAAAAATAGAGAGAGGGAATTTCACTCCCACTATCTGAGGTATTTTCAGAGATTTATGTGGCTGAGACCTTGCTCTGTGTACAGCCATTCCCTGTTAAACAGTAACTGCAGAAAGTTATGCAAGAACAAGCCGAGCAGAGTTGTCCCAAATGCGAGGAACACGGTCTTGACTCAGATAAGGAATTCATACATGTCCGCAGCTAGACACGGCAGGGGCGGGGAGGAGAGGCTGCCAGCCAGTACGTATTCAAAGCAGGGTCAGAAGGTTCGCCCCAACAGGCAGCGTATTTACGGGAACCAGAGAAGGAAACTCAGCCCGAAGAAGGCAGATTGGAAGAAGGTTGAAGCAAATAAAATGCACGATCAAGTATTACAAGGCAACTCCCAGAGCGAGCAGCAAAACGCTAGCCCTGAAGAAAAAAAAAAATATATCTGCCTCAGACACAGGACACCAGGAGAGTGTTTTCTGCTGATAGACAGCAGCAGATTACCAGCACGGAACTGTGCTCAGCCAAGAGCGTGGGAGGACCAAAGCACAACACGGAGGAGTCGTTAAGGAGTGCACACGTTAAAATCTGATGTTGTACCAAGGAATTCAGGGACGGGTCACCCACGCAGTCCTCAGACATTGGCGGATCAGTGAGCTTTACTGTCAATACCAGGTGAAGCAGGCAAAAAAATAATAATCTGAAAACCTCTTAGATGAGAAGAGTGCAAGGAGAAGCCAGGACAGTGTGTGGAAAGAAGAGTCATAGCTCACTTACGACTTACCGCCCATCACCCAGTGATTACAGGCTAATTTGCTACAGGGCTATCTGATAAAAAGCTTTACTGATACCCTCACAGAAGGTTACTCAGAGAGGGAGGGATGAAAGGAAATTCTGTCAAGCCACCAGCACAACCTCCCCAGGCTCTCTGTAGACAGTCCCTCTGTTTTCACTGGAGGCCACAGAAGGGAACAAGAGGGGAAAGGACAAACTTACAAAACCCGTCACTACCAAAATAAACAAGTGACAGTCTGAAGAGGGAGTGAAAGCTCAGCGAACAGGAAGAGCAGAGCAGAACAGGCACAGATCTGTCCACGTCAGGACAGAACAGACGCTGCCTGGCCACAATCAGGGCTTTGGTCAACCCAGTCACGTGGGAAAGAAACATCCAGACTTAAAAAGGGAAGCTGCTGAAGATAGGATGAAAGTAAAGACAGGAGCAAGGACGCCGCTAGAGATAATGCAATTGACCGATGGCGAAGCCTGGATTACTACTATGTAGGATAAGGGATGATAAGAGAGATCCTACAGATCTGGCTGCTCTCACTCCTCTGACCACATGAAAACTAGCAAACTTTCCAGGAAGCTGAATCGTTAACTCTGGAATCCACGGTGTGGGCAGCACAAGGACTGACATCAACAGCAGTCAGAGACACGTGGGGGGAACGGGAACACCGGCTGCTGTTTCACGGGCCAGACCACATTTTAGCCTTCCAGGAAACCCTCAGCACCAGCTCAAGCTGCTATCCCCACCAGGTCACCTCCACTAATCCACCCGGGAGCTGAGAGCATCACAGGCCCGCGCGACGCAAGGGAGAGCAGGCTGCCCCGAGAGCAGCAGGTTCCAAACCTGATTCCCCTCTTTGAAGCTAAGTCCAAAGTCAATGAGCTTAAAGCACTCCTCCTCCGCGCTCCACAGGATGTTGCGTGGCTTGAGGTCGGCGTGCACGTAGCCTTTGTGGTGCAGGAAGGCCAGGGCCTCCAGGACGTCCCGGGCGCAGTGCTGGATCATCCACATGGAGCAGCCCTGGTTGCTGGAGTGCAGCAGCAGCTCGGACACGCTGACGTCCAGCAGCTCCAGCAGCAGGCAGCGCGACGGGCCGTTGGCGGAGTAGTGGTTGGTGAACACGCCGTACAGCGTCACTGTGGAGAGACACGGCCACGGGAACATCAGGAACGGGAAAAAACACCCCAAATACTGCACCCCGCTCCTCCCCAGCACCACGGGGAGACCCTAAAACCCGCAGCAGGCGGCTCAACCTTCACGGGCTCCCTTCCCAAGCCCAGCGGGGGTGCTGCCCACCTCGGGGGGCACCTCCCTGTCCCTCTTGTCCCATGCTGCCCCCCAAACCCCCCCCGTTACCGATGTTGCGGTGGCCGCGGAGGTGCTCGAGGGCGGCCCTCTCCTTGCGGAACCCGTACTCGGCGCAGTCAGCGGCGGCCGGGCGGGCAGCGGGGCGCCGAGCGGGGCCGGGCCGAGCCGGGGGGGCCACGAACTCCTTGACGGCTCCCGGGGGGGCCCGAGGGTCCCCGCAGCAGCGCACCCGGTACACGGAGGCCGAGGAGCCGCTGCCCAGCGGCGCCTGCACCTCCCACAGCCGGCCCAGCGCCTCCAGCAGCAGCGGCGGCGGCGGCGGCGCCGCGCCCCACACGCAGCCCGACATGGCGCCGCCTCGCCTCGGCCTCAGCCTCGCCTCACATCGCCGCCATCGCCACCGCCGCTGCTGCTGCCGCCGCTGCCGCCTCCGGCTCCCGCAGCCCGGCTCGGCCGCCGCTGCCGCCGGGCTCCGGCCGCCATCACGGCGGAAACGGGGCGGAGCGCGACCAGGAGGTCCCTCAGCGCCGCCCCTGGTTCCCTCAGTACAGCCCCAGTACCCCACAAGCACCGCCCCGCTCCCCTCAGCGCCTCTACAGTACCCCCTAAGCACCGCCACGGTCCCCTCAGTACAGCCCCGGTCTCCCAAAGCACCCCCCCGGTCCCCTAAGCACAGCCCCGCTTTCCCCTCAGCGCTTCCCCGGTCCCTCCAAGCACCACCCGGGTCCCCTCAGTACAGCCCCAGTTCCCCCCCAAGCACTCCCCGGTCCCCCCAGTACAGCCCCGGTACCCCCAAGTACCCCCCTGGTTCCCTCAGCACAGTCCCGGTTTCCCCTCAGCGCCTCCCCGGTACCCCCAAGCACCACCCCGGTCCCCTCAGTACAGCCCCAGTCCCCTCAGTATGGCCCCAGTACCCCCCAAGCACTCCCCGGGTCCCCTCAGTACAGCGCCAGTTCCCCCCTCAGCACCGCTCCAGTTCCCCCCAGTTCCTCCCTGTTACCCCCCAAACACCCCCCCAGTTCCCTCAGTACAGCCCCGGTTCCCCCTTCACCGCCCCGCTTCCCCCCCAGTTCCTCCCCAGGTTCCCCCTCAGCTCCCCCCGGGGCCACAAAAGGGGTGCTAGGTGTCAGTGATTAATAATAATAATAAAAAAAAACAACCCCACCCGTTTATTGTGCAATCCGCATCTTTTGGCCCCAAGTACACGTGCGGCCCAGAGGCCATAAATAGAGGGACGGGACCCACAGTGGGGCGCAGGGGTGGAAGACGCTGGGTGCTCTGAGAGGGGCTGCGAGCCCTGGTCCCCATCGAGGCGGCCCTACAGGCGTCCAGTGGGTGGCATGGACACACACACCGGTGTTTGGGGTGGCAGCGGCCACGCACAGCACAATCCCATTACAGGCTCTCTGTCCCGGCACCCATGGGCTCGGGGGCAGCAGGAGGAGAGGCTTCAGCCCACCTCTGGCGCCCCAGACCCTGCCGCACGCCTGCCACCAGCTCCAGGGGACGCGGTGCCCTCAACACTACTGCTGGAAGGCGGTTTGTGGCTTTACAAGGTCCCAATTGGGGTGTCCACCCTTCAGTAGCACCGGTGGGGCTGTGAGACCTGTCCCAGCCCTGCCCAAAGGCAGTTTGTGCCCACCTTTGAGGCGAGGATGCTCCAGGTACCGCGTGCCATCCCATAGCTGCTTCCTCGCACCCAGCCCTGGGGTCCCCGTGCGGGATAACCTCTCCAGAAATGATCATGGAGCGGTATCAGGGGACTGCGTGACTTCTCGTGTCCCAGTCTCCCGCAGAAGCTCCACCGCTCCCCAAAATCCCAGAGGGCAGGGGAGGTGGCCCGCACAGAGTGAGGTGCCCACCGGGGCAGCTCAGTCCTCCCCATGCCACGAGCACGGGCTGGGGCTCCACAGCAAAGGGATGGCACCGCAAAGGGACGGGACGGCCCCTGGACACAGCTCGGGGCTGGGGACAGTGTGCGGCAGGGCTGGGGGGGTCCACGGGCAGCCCGGAATGGGGCTGCTCAGTGGGCACAGGGGGTGGGATGTGGGTGTGAGGAGGGTCCTGGCGCTTCTGCACCCGCACACGAGGCTGCAGAAGCGGTGGCAAGACAGGCAGTGCTCCTCCGGGGCACCTGGGGAGGAGGGGTTCAGGAATGACGGCTGAGGAGTGGCTCCTACCAGCCTGGGGTTCCCCCCCCATCCCCAAAATAGCGACCCCAAGAACAGTAAGCGGCAGCGAGAGAGGTGTTTGGGAGAGCCAGCCCCCACCGTGCCCCTCTCCCGCTGCTACTCGAAGGACAGCAGGTCAGGGTGGGGACCCTCTGCCTCCCGGCTCGGGGTGCAGGGCTCTGGGTGCCCCACGCTCCCCGGCAGCTCATGCTCCAGCCCTGGGCCCCGGGGGGACTTCTCGCTGCGGGGTGAGGTCTCCAGGCTGCCTTTGTGGATGAGGTCGGGCACGGGGAGGGCACCAGGCGGCTGGTCCCCACTCGGTGCCGAGGCACCGGTGGCCGCCGAGCACCCCAGGGTGCTCAGGAGGGGACAGGTCCCTTGTCCCCAGCCACTCCTCGGCAGGGTCAGGGTGTGCTGGGGGCGGCTCGGGGGGCTCCGCCACGCTGCTGCCCACGGGCTGGGGTGCGATGAGCATGTCCTGCGGGGTCTTCAGGGCACGCGGAGTCCTCTTCTTGGCGACGGGGGGCGGCGGGTCCAGCCGGGGGAAGGCGTCCAGCCCCGGGGGCCTGCAAACGGAGCGCAGCAGTGACACACAGCCCCCACCAGGACCCCTGCAGCCTGCCCAAACCTCCCTGCCCCGGGGCACACGCAGCGGGGACACTCACCCCTCCTCGTTTCCCAGCTGTCCCGTGCCCAGCGCGGCACCGGCGCTGGCGTTCACCTCCGTCACCCCCACGCCGGGGGGGCCAGCCGGCTCCTTGCGGCGCAGGAGATCGGTCACCTTGGCCCCCACGGCCTTGCCCAGGTTGCGGAGGTGCTGGCTGCCGGCAGGGCGGGAGGGCTGCGCCGGGGTGCCCGCGGGGCCGTGCTGCGGGCGCGGGGTGGGGGCCGTGCTGGCGCTGGCATTTTCAAACATGCTCTGGTCCACTGGAAGGGAAAGGGAGCAGAGAGCGGGTGTGAGCGGGGCTGCAGGGGGTGAACGTCTCAGGGTTGCCCACCAGCAGCAAGTTGGGGACACGGTTTGGGGACAGGGAGGCTGCTCCCGCGGCCCCGCAGCCGTGCCGTGCCTGCGCAGGGCAGTGCATGCAGCAGGGACAGCGCGGGGGAAGACGAGGGAGCAGCAAGCCCAGGGCACCATGCTGGCACTGACAGCACACCAAGAGCATCTCTTACCTGGTGTCGAGCAGCTTGGGAAGCAGGTTGTGGGGAAAAAAAAGAGAGAAAAAGAGGGTTTACCAAGGGGACAGCAGGCCTGGCCCTTCTGCATGCTTTCTCCATGCTGCCAGGCGAGGTGCGGTGCTGATCCCCTGCCTGGCTGCCTACAGCGGTGGGATTCACCGGGTGCGGGCACAAAACCCCGATGTTTCTGCACCACCCTGCGCTGGGCCAGCTGCAGCCTGTGTGGCTGAGCAACCCCACACCTCGCCCCTTGCGCCCTGGCAGCCCTGAGGGACGGAGCCAGCGGGTCTCTGAGCACCGGGTCCCTGAAGACCCTCGGAGGGGCTGCGCCCGGTGCCCAGCAGCTCCCTGGGGTGCCCTCAGTGACATCAGCTGCCGGAACCATGGCAGCGTGGAGCCGGGGCCTGGCACGGAAGCTGCACCAGGGCGATGGAGAGCTTTGCGGTGCCGTCCTTTTGGGTGGGGGCCATGCCCCGTGGCACCGGGAGGGGCAGCCTGGAGCCCTTCTGCCCCCAGGGCCTGCCCGCTGAGGCCGGTGGTGCCCGCGGGCAGCACCCAGGCAGGGGGGCACGCAATGCTCCAGCCGGACAAACCTGCCTGGGTGGGCAGGGGAAGGGGGCCCCACATGGTAAAGGGTGCTTGTTAGACCCCGGGGGGGTCCTGCTGGCACAGCCCGCCTCTGCGCTGCTCTCTTTCTCACCCCACGTCTTCCCAGCAGGAACCCCAAAAGCTGCGGGTGCTGCCTCCAGCAGTGCCAGCTCGCCCCCGTGCCCGTGCAGCTCTGCGAGGGACAGCCCCAGCTGGCTGCAGGGTGAGCCCTCCTCGTGCCAGCGGGTGTCTCGCCAGCATCCCGCACGCGTCCCATGCTGGAGGGGATGCTCTGTGTGCTGGACCGGGCTCGTACAGGGACCCTCAACTCACTGCTGCCCTTTTCCCTTTGCAGCCACAGCCTCGGCGGGCAGCGAGCTCCCTGCTCGCACCATCTACCGGCCCTGGTTCTCACCGTACAGCTACTTCATCCGCAGCGCGGCAGCCCCCCAGCAGCACCTCTCCTCCAGCCTGGCCACCGGCACCCAGGAGCCGGAGGAAGCCGATCGCCTCTCGGAGACCATCTGCTCCTCCTCCTGCTCCTCGGAGGATCCCCAGCCCTCCCAGAGGGGCCGGCAGAACAGCGGCAGGGTGAGCATCACCGTGCGGGACATCCTGGCGGCCGCGCGGGGCCAGCCGGTGCCGCAGCAGGGCTACAAGTGCAGGGCGTGCTGCCGCGTCTTCCCCACTCTCTGGGCGGTCAAGACCCACATCCAGCACAGCTCCCAGGAGGGCTACAGCTGCAAGGCGTACTACCGCAAGCTCAAGGTCCTGCTGGAGAAGGAGAGCCAGGAGCAGGAGGGCCCCCCGGCACCCCAGTAGCCGCAGCCGCCGCGGGAGGGCACTGCTCCATCGCTGCAGCCACCAGCGCAATAAACGCCACGCGGAGCAGGGCCTGCTGCTCTCCCGCAGCCCCTCGCTGACACACTGCTCCTGGTGTCCTTTTAAAGGCCGTTTCTGACTTTTCTCTTCCCAAAAAAAAAGGCACGGAGCCTGGAAGGCGCCGCTCAGTGTCTGGATACCCTCGAGGCAGCATCGGGCACCCTCTGACCGTCAGCCAGCCCTGAGACGAGCCCACCCGGTGCCTCTACCCCAAAAACACCACTCGGGGCACCTCGCTCTCACAGCCAGCCTGCTGTTGGCACCACAAGCCAGGCAGAGCTGAGCTGCAGGGGAAGGCTGGGGGTCCCGCGGGGAAGGATGCTGGGTTTTGGGGGGGCTGTGTGATGCCAGGGGTGCCGGTGCTGGCTGCCAGCCCGGCCTGGCAGAGCGTGGAGGGCAGGAGGAGTACAGAAAGAGAGAGCCAGCGAGAAGGAAGAGACAACAGAAAGCCTTGAGAAATAGAAAGATTTATTTAGCAAAAGCCAATCAACTGATGACGACACCCAAGGGTTAAGTGCACTTACATTGACAGATTGGTTTCCCAGACAGGCTGAGTCGACGGTTAGTAACACGACAGTTGTAGGAAAAAGAAAGGACAAAAAATAGAGCTATAAATTCCCAGTCAAGGTCCGTAACAAAAGTGAGAGGCCAGAGAGGCGTTCGGTAGGCAGCGCCGGGTGAGGAGGAGAACAGAAGGGCTGAGGCTGGAAGGGCCCTCAGGATGTCACCCACTCCGAGCCCTGCTCAAGCCGGGACGCTCAGAGCAGGCTGCCCAGGACCACGTCCCGGTGGTTTTTGAGGATCTCCAAGGAGGGAATTGGTGCTGCCCCTCGTGGAGCTCCTGCAGTCCCACCAGCTGCCTCTCCAGCCCGTCCAGGGCTCCCGGTGTCACCCACTGCCCCCAGCTCCGTGCCACGGGCAGCCTCGTGAGGGTGCCCCCATCCCTGACCAGCTCCAGCTCCATTTTGGCTTCAGCCTCCCTAACTTCACCCCCGGGTGAAGCCCAGGCTTTCGAGTTTGCCTTTCACCCTCCTCCCTGCCCTAAGGGCCCTGAACTCCACCATCCCACGGTCCCTTCGACCTTCGTGTCCCCAGCAAGCCCCTGGCTGCTGCTCGGAGGCCCACCGGGACCCCCAGCTCCTGCCGGGTGGGCAGCGCCCAGCACAACCCTCGCCCACCCCGGGGGGCTCACCCACACCCCACTCCTCAGCCCCAAGAGGACGGGGACAGGAGGAAGCCACCGGCCTCCCTCGGCAGGGAGCAGAGCACGAGCTCGAGGCGGGGAGATGCGCAGCCAGGGGTTAGGCGCAGGCACAGCGAGCAGAGACAGAGCCAGCCAAGGGGAGAGCAGCAGGCAAGCAATGAAGCGAAGCAGAAGCAGGACAGGAGGGTGGAAGGAGGGGAAAAGGACCGTGCCAACCCCCAGCCCTCCCAGCATTTCCTCAGGGGGGCTCTGGCTCATGGCCTCTTGGAGGCTGCAGCAGCGGGCAGCTGATAAATGTGCTCGCAGAGAAGGGAAAGGCTCCACTGGGGGGCCCTAAGGACAACCACCGGCCTCTGGGGGGCTGCTGGGGACCCTGACATCCCCGATTCGCCCCTCTGGAGGGTGCAAACCAGGCTCATGAAGGAGCCCCCGTGCACAGCCGCTCCTCACCCGTGCCACCCGCTGCTCCCGGGCAGCTCCCAGCAGTGTGCACAGCTGGCATCACCTCCCGTGGGGGCAGAGACCCCCAAATAGGGCTCAGCTTCCCCCCCCCGAAGCAACCATCCCAAATCCAGACGAGCAGGGTGCCTGCAGGAGGAGAGCTCGCTCCCCAAGGAGGCTCTGTGCGTGTCCCCGCACGGCCACTGCCAGCCCTGGTTCGCGGGCAAGCACCTGCTGGGAAATGGGGTGGGTTTTGTCCATAAAGCGAAGCAGGGAGCCGGTGGTGGCGGTGAGTACAGGGAAGGACTTAAAAACATGAGCACCAGAAAGGCTTCGAAGCCTGGCAGCCGTGCTGAGGACCGGGCAGCGAGGGGAAGGACTGCACACCCCGTGCTGCGCTCCCTGGTTCCCCGATCTGCAGCCCCGGGGAGGGGCAGGCAGTGCCCACACACCCTCCTCCTGCCTCGGGCAGGGACCAACCCGGTCCCAAAACACCACAAACCCCAGCACCCTGCCAATGCTGCCCGTGCCCGGCCATCCTGTGCCACCTCCTCGCACCCCTTCACCTTCCCAGGCTCGTCCCCGGTGTCCCCCTGCTCTCGCCTCCTCTCCCACCACCTCCACATGCAGAAACCCCACTCACCGCCCCATACTGGCTCTTGGCTCCCTCCCATCCCCGCTCACCACCCCACAACTGCTCCCTCATTCCCTCAGCAAAGACTCCCACCCGTCTCACCGCTCCCCCTGCAGTTCCACCACTTCCACCACCTCCCAACCTGGCACAGGAGGCACGGGCTGACCCCTTCAGTTTGGGGCTGCTGTGTGCCACGGGGCTCTGGCAGCAATGCCAGCAGCATTACAGGGCCCTGCGGGGCCGCGATGGTGCTGGGGGCTCTTTGCTTCCCTTCCTCCTGACCTCTCAACACAGCCCAGGGGCAGGCACGGGGGACCAGGGTGCAGCGCAAGCCTGGCACGAAGCTGAGGGTGCTGAGCTCGGGACAACGGGGCCGGCAGCAGGGACACAGCCTGGGGAAGGACGAGGGCTGTGCCCTGCTCCTGCCGAGCTGGCACATCTCCGGGTGCCACTTATCTCCCCCGGGCACGGCACGGTGCCACGCGCTCCCCTCCTCCGTTCCTGGCCCCGCCAGGGCTCCCGTCTCTCCACGCCACCTCCCGCCGTGCCCTACACCGCGATCTCATCCTCCAGGCTGTCTCCCAAATCCTGCCGGGGCTGGACGTTGAGCAGGCGCGGGGGTTCCTCCTGGGACCAGGAGTCCCGCTCCTCGCTCTCGTCCGTGTTGGACTCGTACTCGGAGGCGATGCCCGACTCGCGGAACTTGAGGAGCTCCAGGCTGCCCAGCGCCGGCTCCGCGGCGTGCGGCCCCGAGCCCGGCAGAAAACGATAGCACTCCAGCTTCACCAGGCAGTCATTCCTACCTATGGGGCTGCCCAGGGCGCTGGGGAAGCCCGAGCCGGGGCCCAGCTGCGGCAGGTGGCTGTCCTCGGGCTGCGGGGTGGTCGGGTCGCAGAGCACGGGGAGGGCGCCGGAGCGGAAGGTGATCTCCAGCAGGCTGTCCTGGGAGCCCGCTGCAAGAGAAGGGCACGGCTGAGAGGTGGTCACAGAGCCACTCCTGGCCACCACAGCAGGCTGCGGACCCCCTCCAGGGGAAGGACAGTCCCAGGGGGTCTGCAAAGAGCCAGGAGGAAAGGTTATCCGTCTCCCACCCCGCTCCTGCAGGGAGCTGACGGCCACACAAGCTGCACGTGCACAAGCCGGGCCAGAAGGGCACTACCACGGCCCTGCAGAAAATACAGGAAATGTGCAAAACGGGGATCCCGTTAGCTGCAGGGGGACAGTACGGGGTAGGGAGCACTTACTGGTGTTGTTCCCTGCCAGCTTCAGCTCCAGCTCCTGCACCTGCTTGACCAGGAGCGAGATGTGCTGCAGCAGGTCCTTGTTCTGCAGCAGGAGCTGGTGCACGCGCGCCTGCGCCTCCAGCCGGGCTGCTGCCTCCGCGGCCAGCTGGTCCTTCAGCAGGTGGACCTGCGGGACAGGGGACAGCCCCGTCACACCAGTGTGACGACGATGGGCAAGCCCGAGGGTGGAAAAGCTGGCAGGGAATGCCCAGGGGCAAAGCGCCTGTTTGTTTCAGCACAGCTACGGATACGCGAGCAGCTACATCAGCCCTCTGCCCAGAGCTCTCTGCCCAACGCTGCTGGGCAAAGCAGGAACTGGCAGAGGTGGAGCCGCAATTAAATGCTGAGCAGGTGCAGAAGCTCAGCGCTGACAGCACCAGCCCAGAGAGCATCCCTCCTCCCGGCCCCACTGCTGCCTCCAACACAGGCACTGGGGATGCAGGGAGGCAGCGAGCAGAGCCCAAATGTCACTGCTGGCACAGGGGCTTGTGCCACCAGCCCCCTGGGACAGCAGCCAGGAAGGGCGCTTGGCATAATTCAAGGAACTTCTACACGTATCTGGAAACACCTCTCTGGTCATCGAGGGAACTGAACGGCATTTCATCCCCCGCCAAGTAATTACAGGCAGAGATAATTACAAAACGGTCCCCGTAGCTACAGAGCCATGGGTCTGACACAGATCCTGGACGACACCGCGGAACTACTCAAGCAATTGGGGGAGCTCTGGGGGGTGTCAGGGGGCGAGGAAAGCTGGGGTAACCGGTAGAGGTCCAGGAACTCATGGTGGGACGAACCTGCGCCACGGCCACTTGCGTCTGCTGCTGCTGCTGCTGCAGGAGCTGCTGCAGGAGCTGCATCTGGTGGTGGGCAGAGAGCGGCGTGCCCAGGTCGGGCAGCGGGGCGGACGAGGGCAGCAGCAGCTTGGGCGAGGCGGTCAGGATGTCCTCGGGGTGGAGGCAGCCCTGCAACACACCGACAGAGAAATTGTGATCCCATCCGTGCCCCCGAAGCACGCAGGGGACAGGCTGCTGCATTCAAAGCAAGGGCACGTGCCCATCAGGGCACGGCTGCGGCGAGCCCGGCGCTCTGCAGGAGCACCCCAGGCCCCCAGCCAGAGGGCAGCAGCCGATGGTTTTGCTCCGGGAGCTGGGCAATGCTGCAAAAAGCCCCCTCCCCTGGGCACGGGGATGCGGAGGGACCCACGCACCTTGGCGTCGGCGCTCGCCTCCTTGCCCACGGCGTCCAGGTCGGTGACGCCGCGGCTGAAGTCGAGGATGCCGGCCCCGGGCAGCGGCAGCTCCACGGCGTCGATGTCGGTCTCCTCAGCCGAGGTGGCTGCCCGCTCCACGGCGGTGAGGCGGCAGGCTGCGGGAGGGCAGGGACAGAGCTGGGACCCCACACACATCCCCACCACCACCCCATTGCCCAGGGCTCGTGGCCAAAACACACCCAGGGAACAGTCACCGTGTTTGTTCAGGGGAAACGGGCCATCGGGAGGCACAGAGAGCTAAAGGTAAACAGGAGGTGACGGGAAAAGAGACAAAAAAAATAAAGAAATAAAAAAAACAGATGCTCAGAAATCCCCCGGGGAGCTGCACACCGCGGCCGGTACATTGTGGAGAGGAAAAACAAGCGGGGAGCTGCCCAGGTCAATGCAGCTGCAGAGGGTGGGCTGTGCCGGGGGGACCCCGCAGCCTCCAGGGGTGCAGCATTTCCACACGCACACCCTTACACGCTCAGAGGGCCAGCAGCCAGCCCGCACATCACTTGGGGACACGGGGACAGTCCCCGCTTTGGCCCCCGTCCTGGCAGTGGCGTGGAAACGCTTGCAGCGTGCGCAGCCGAGCACGGAGAGCTCTCGGGCCCCCGCTGCCCCCGCTAATGGGCTCGCAGCACGGGGGATGTCTGCGCAGATGCCGGCTGACACCTAGCCAAGGCTCCTCGCTGGGTGAGATCCCCCGGCTCCGCGGGGCACAGCGCCGTGCAAATCCGCTCCCCGCAGGTGGCAGCCAGCAGCCAGCAGCGCGGAGAGACGGCGGCTCTGCAGTCCCCCCCCCAAACCTCACCCCGGCACGGTACCTGGGACATCCAGGTCGTCCCCGTTCCTCTCGCTGTCCCCGTCCTCCTGCCCGTCGGCGTTCTGCTGGGTGTGCTGCAGGCTCAGCTTGTGGCAGACCTCGAACGCCTGCCCCACCGTGCGGACGATGCGCATGGCCTGGCTCTGCGGCGGGCGAGGAGGCGAGCAGAGCTCCGTCAGCACGGCCACCCCGCCGGGACACCCCCCCCAACCGAGGGGTATCCCCCCCCCAGCATCCTCACCTTCTTCTTGGATTTGAAGACGTTGCACCTGAAGACATTGCTCGAGCCATCCCTGGCGATGTAGCTGAAGATCTTGAGGTCCTGGGAGTCGTGGGACACATAAAAAATCCTGCCAGGAGGGAAACGGAGTCGGTTTGCCCCCAGCACACGCTGCCCGCCGTGGCCAGGACGCTGCAAAGCCACAGCCTCTTTTCTTCTCCGGGCTGCTGGCAGCTGCCCAGCCTCTGCAGCACAGCCCTGCTAAAGCCCATCCATTTTACATTTTAGTTTTTTGGCAGCCGTGCTGCCCACACGGAGAACATGAACCTGCAGCAAACACTTTGCGAAGGCTGCCCAGGGATTTCTCTGCTCAGCCCACGCAGGGCAGCACCACGGGGCACCCATGGGAACGAGACCTGAGCGCCTCTTTGGAGAGGTGGCCTCTTGGCTCGGGCGCCTGCCCCCTCCCAGCACTAATTATGGCTCTAATTGGGATCATTAACAAGGGCTTAGTGGCTGTCCTGGGGAGCTCGGGGGGGAGGAGGAGGCTTTTCTGCATGAGCTGCCCTCCTCCTCCCAGCAGGACAGGGATCTGCGAGGGGCTGCTGCCGGACACGGGGCTCAGCCTCACCTGTAGATGGGATCGTGCATGACGAGCATTTTGTTCTCATCCCAGGCCCATTCTTTTTTCTGCAAGGGAAGAAGCTGAAAATGAGTACGTCAGATGCTGCCCTCGAGATGGAGCACGGGGCCGAGGCGGTGCTGGGACGCTGCTCGCCGCGGCTCTGCTGCTCTCCAGCCCCGGCTGACGGCCTCCCCTGCCCAAAAACCCCACGGGTCCCCATCGCCCCGAGGTGCCCCGCCGCGTGGCCGCCTACCTTCTTCTTCTTCTTCAGGATGACCTTCACGCCGTCCACCGACACGACGAGGCTCACCTTCTTCTTCTTGATGTTCTTGGCTTTGAACTCATACTGCAGAGAGAGGCCTGGGTGAGCCCTGAGGGGCCACATCCCCCGCAGAGGGGCGATTTCCCGGCCCCACGGGTTTGCTGTGGGGGTTTGGGGCTGTTAGGGAGCTCCAGGAGGAGAAATGCTACATCAGCGGGGGTGCAGGGGGCTCGGCACGGAAACAGAGGATTCCTGAGGGCTCCGAGAGCCGCGACGGGGGAGCTGGCATAATGCGATTACCCACTTCAGTTAGAAGTCACTGGATGGGAAATAAAACTCAGGAACTTCCAAAGATCAGTGGCTAAACACAAAGCTGCGGCCCAGCCCCGGGGAGAGACCACGATGCCCCTAAATCCAGCCCCTCCTGCACGCACAGCCCTACAAGCAGCGAGGGGATAAATGGGGGGGGGGGAGAACAGCTCAGACACTCGTTTTGGCTGAGCAAACTCCTGCACTGCACCCAGAAATCCTGTCCCCTGCAGGAGCTGCGCTTTTGGGGTAAAACCACGGCGTTTTGTGGGGTGGGGGACCCCCAGCAATGGGTCCATGCACACATTCGTGGCCCTGGGGACAGCAGGCACTGGGCCAGCTGAGCCCAAGAGGCACCGAGCATCCACAGCCTGGCACTGTGAGCATGGGAATCGTGCTCGTGACCCCCTCAAAAAGGCTCCCCTCGCCCCCACCTCCATCCCAGTGGGATTTCGGGGGACCCACAGAACCGCTCCACCACTGACACCGCGTCCCCAGAGCACCAGTCCCACACACAGGGCACAGCCCCCTCCCGGCACAGCAGCCCCACGGCCTCTACGTGCAGAAGAGGGATTTAATTAACCCCCTCGTTAGCCCATATGGGGAGCAGCAGCCGGGAGCCCCACGCACAGCCCTGCCCTGTGCCATTTCCAGCGCCGCGTGCTGCATTAGCTCCGGCAGCCAGCGCCAGCAGGCAGGGAGAGCTGCTGGCCCCGACCTGCGATTTCATGACAAAAGACCCGAAAATACAATTCCTCAAAGCCACTTGGAAGCGGCTGGCGGGGACGAGCGATCCCGATGACTCAGAGAAGCGCCCGGCGGGGTGACGCAGCTCGCTCCAAAGCCGTGGTGATGGGCTGCAGGAAGCAGAGCTCAGGCTCCTGCCGAGCCTACAGCCAGCCCCCAAATCCCCTACCCACGAGCTGCCTGCAGGGCTCGTTCCCTGCGTCCCTGCTGGAGGGGGCTGCCCCCAAAGCTGGCCAACGAGGAGCCCCCTGTCACTACTAAGGATCAGTGCCAAGACCACAGCGGTGCCTCTGAAACCCAACCATCCCGATTTAGCCCCAAAAAGGTGGGCTCCAGCCCAAGCACTCAGCACCAGGCAACCCAAAACCCTCTCCAAAACCCCGCGTGCCATGTTGCGGATGCTCCACAGCCCCTGCTGTACAGGTCCTGCTGCTCACTGGTCATCAGCACCCAGCTGCTGGAGCCAGGGGATTTCCATTCCGGGTGACCCCGAGTGCTAATTAGTCTGGGCTCGGAGAGATAGCAGCCCAAAAAACACCTCGTGGTTAGAGGGACTATTTTTAGCCTGGGATTCGGTGAGCACCAGCCATGGTAAAGCCACGCAGACAGAGCAGGGCGCTTAGCAGAGAGGTTACCAAACCCCAGCACGGGTTATATGGGACGCAGGGGATACAGAGAGCCCGGCAGATGCCCCCACACGCCTGGCCCTACCCATGGCTGCAGGCCAGGGGCACTGCCCGGGCTCATCCCTCGCCCGCCCGCGCCGTGCCGCAGCCAAATCCCCGCGTGCCGAGGGCAGAGCTCCAGCAGGAACTGGAGGCAGCGAGGGAAGCGAGCGCTCAGGAGGACCCAGCAGCCAGATCTGCTGAGTGCTCTCATAAATCTCGCCCTTTATCCCAGTGCCTAGCACAGAGCCAAGCTCCCTTGCACGCCTGAGCCACGCACTTGGAGCTGCCCCACGTCCTGCCCCAGCCCCAGCTCGTTAGCAGGGGCGCCCCAAAACACACCCAGGCTGCGGGTGACCCTGGGGAAGAGACCCCGAGCTGAAACAGGCTGGGAAGGAGGCAGGGAGAGCAGCAGGAGAAGGGAGCAGCAGGGCAAGTAGGAACACCGGCACCTCTGGGAGCTGCTTCGCCCCTGCTCGCAGCCACAGCACGCAATTTGTTGGAGCCACAGAGGCTGCAAGGGATGAACTCAGAGCCGCTGGCTCACGGTGCCACTGCTCGATCAGCGATGTGTTATTGCATCCCCGCCTGCCGAGGGATCAGCCAGGAGGGATCCGGAGGAGAAGACAACCCGCACGTTTCCAGGGATGCTGGGCCAGTGCCAGAGCTGCTCTCGCTGGGAGTCACATCCTGCATCCCCAGGCGCACGATAAGATCGCCCAGCCCTAACGAGCTCCTCACCGAGACCGAGCACGGCTCACGTGGTGCCAAAACCCAGCATGATCGCTCAGCATGGCCCTGCACACACACCTCACCTGGGGCTGAAGCACCAACCCGCAGGAAAACATGGGGAAAGCAAAACCCATCCCACTAACGGCGCTGGAGCAGCTGCTTCAGGAACAAACCCACATTTCGCCCCGCTGGGGGAACCAGGAGGCTCGGCTCGGCTCCAGATGTCTCCAGTTGGCAGAGACGAAGCCCAGGCTGCTGTTTCAGGCAGAAAAGGCTCAGAAATCATCACCCAGCCTGGCAGCAAGGAAGGAAGGAAGGAAGAGGGTCTGTGCAGCTCCCCCACCACCCCCTTTGCCTGTCACCGTCTTTCTCACAACTACCCAGATGGCGTGAAGGTTTTTGGGCCTTCAACCCAGGTGTTTTACCCAATTTTAGATTTTGAAACATCCATAAAAATATTTCAAGCTTACATCAATTATATTAATCCTTGGCTATAGCAATGTGATGATCCCAGAAGATGCACAACTTCAGGGAAATGCCCAGAAATGGGAAAGAGCCATGGAAAAATGCTTCTCTTCCTGGGCCTGCACGGCTCCCCAGTCCTTCAGTTTGCCCGACTGAAGCTCCAGTTAACAACTCTGCTAAAATGCTCAAGGCTTGAAAAGAGACTTTTGAGATATGCTTTTTATTTGGTAATGTATTCAAGACCAAAACTAAGGATGTCTCACTAACGGAAAAAAATTTATTAGATGACTTGTAAACTCCAAGCAGCCGTGAAGCAAGTGAATAAAGACACTACCCTCTAATTTTACATTCCCCACAAAAAAAAAAAAAAGTTTATCTTCAATTAGGAAAGAAGCATTTCTAAACAGCGGAGCGCAAGAGCCTCAGCACTGACCTCAGGTTAGTGGGAGTCTCTTTTCAACATCTGTCTTTTATGCAGAGCTGGCTATTTAAATAACTTCAAAGGCATGCTCTTAGATGGAAAATAATGCCAGCTGGTGTATGCATCATTGCACAACACATTTCTACTGGCAGGGTATTAGAGCTGCCCTTTCTTGAGAGCAGAGGAACATATGTTACTTAATAGGGAGCGCATGTACCCTTGTCAGTTTGGAGGAAAATTATGTACAAGCCTTGAGTGCGATGGGTATGTGTGAAAAGCACAATAAAAAAACCCTTCCACATCCCTAGAAACGTGTTATCTGCCCCTGTCTCACGGCTCCTACACGGCAGAAGTGTAAGGAAAGGTTTAGCCATGCCTGCAGGCTGTCGGGCAGGTGAGATGCTGGAGGAGGGAGACGGTGCCTCTCGGGGTTTGGCATCACCCCACACGCACAAGCATCTGAAACAGATCAGCCTGAACAGAGACGCCCTCATTTCAGTCCAAAAACTAAACCTCGGTGGGTGCAGACCCCAATCTGCCCACCAGCATTCTCCATCAGAAATGGGCGGACTGGTGTCAGTGCTAGCAGAAAGCAAATAAATGTGAGGTTCCTCAGTGGAAGCTCTCCAGATGTCCCCATCCCAGCTGGTAAAGCACAAGCAAGGCTTCAACCCAGCATCAGCTCGGAGTACTGGAGGACAGAGAAGCAGCAGCCTTGTGAAGTCTTCCCCAGCCCTTCGGAGGAGCAGCGGTAATGATCTGCTCCTGAAGGATTAACTTGTTCCCAAGTGACAGCTGAGGGCGAGCTTAATCAAGGCTCTGCAGCTCCAGAAACCCAAGAATTAACAGCTCCGGGGGAAAGCCACGTATCTGGCCATTTCTGGCAGCGAAAGCACAAGAAATGACAATGCTTGCCAGAAATGTGAGGCACAACCCAGAGGGGACCCTGGAGGCACCGTGCTGGGATGCTAACAGCAGCACTGGGGCTGCGTTCTCCTGATCCACACAGGGAAAAGGCACCAAAACCCCAGCTCTGATGAGCCCCAGCAGCTGCCCCCTGGAAGGGGAACCTGACGTGGACCTGGCCCATTGCTGGGAAAGCAAAGAGCAAGAATGGTTTCTGCAGGAAAAGAGCAACAAAGCACGAGGAAGGTCCCTCAGTTCTGGTGCCATTAACGGGAGAAGGTCCGTGGATGATTTCCAGCCCTGGGCAGGGCTGCATCACACCAAAGCATGCAGCGTGGTGCTGCGGCATGCCCACATGTCCTGTGAGCCAAGTTTCAGGCCAAAATCTTGGGAGAGCTCACATGTAGACAAGACGCACACACCTGGCAAGGGGTGCAGGCGCAGGTTGCCAACCGCCAGCCCGTTCTCTGCGCTGCTGCCCTCGCCCCTCTCTCCTGCTGGGTCCCTTCCCCAGTATGCAGCCTCCTGCAGGACGACGCCGAGCAGATTGCTTGGGCAGGCAGAGTCAGGTCCCTGCTGGTCCCCTGGGGCTGGGGGAGAGCTCTGGGCCGAGCACGGCGTCCTCCCCGTGCGCACGGACACCGGCGACGCGCAGGCGCGCCAGGAAGCCCTCCCTGCGACGGTGCCAGAACCGGGGCTGAAAACATCCTGCCCGGCCCCCGTCGGGATCTGCCGGCGGCTATCAACCCACCGAGGGGCACAGGGATGTGGAAAGGGGGAGAAACGAAGCGCTGGAGGCTGGTTTTTGGGCTTAACGCTGCTTTGTGAAGCTCCTCTGCGGGTCAGCAGAGGTTGCGCTTGTGCATATGGATCAGCACAGCTCCGAGGTGCGCGTGCATCCGAAATAGCTGTCGCTGTGGTTTGTGCTGACAAGGTCAGGGCCGATATTCCCATCCAATTTCAGCTTTAATTTTGGTAACTGCCTGTGACGGCCGTGTGTCCTGATGGGTATAAATGGGAATCGGTCTAAAAATACCCGCGCTGCGAGAGCGGCAGAGCAGAGCAGAGCTAGGCTCGGTGCTTTGAAACAAGCCCAGATCACAGCAGCACGCCCATTTATCACACAAAATATGTGTTCCAATAACATTGACTATTCCACAATAAATTCCGTCTGCTCGCCTCGCTCTTTCCCACCATGCAGCTGCCCCCATCCCCTTCCTTTCTGCCCCCAAGTTCCATTAGCTGAGCTGACGCGCTGGGGCGCGCGCCGCAGCCGCCCTCACCCTGTGCATTTCAGGAGAAATCAGAGCAGATAAAAATCAATACCAAACACACGGTCAAGGGGATAAGGTTCTTGTGGATAACAGCTGCCTCTCAGCCCCCCGTTGCAGAATTCCCATTTGGAGACCCCCGTGGGGCAGCAGCAACCAGGCCGCCCTGCAGACACCAGCGCTGAGCCGCACGCGTTCTGCTATTTATCAGCCCTTGCTAATAGAAGCAGCGGCAGCACATTCTTTGGAAACCCCATATCTGGCTGGAATTTGCGGTATTTTTAATTAGCTACCCATCAGCTCCTCCGAGCAGGGAGAAGATCCCACGGGGCAGGGCCGCCAGGAGGGCGAGAGGCACCGAGCATCCCGTGGGATGTCGCTCCCAAGGCTGGGGCTGGCTGGCAGTCCTGCACCAGCCTGGGGTGCATGGGTACTGAGAGAGCCAAAAAATGCCTGGCAGGTACCTTCAGAAGAGAAAAAACATCCTCCGTGCGCAGGATCAGCACTAAGGGAGGCACTGCCCCAAGGCAACCACAGGGCTAGCACCGCCGGGGAGTGCGCCCACCCCAATTCCACCTCGGTGACAAAATGGGGTGACACAACACACGTACCAATGAATCTGACAGCGAGCAGAAGCTGAACACGGCGAGGTTTACAGCCCGGCTTGCGAAACACGGCCAGGATTCATTCACTCACCCGTTTCACTGCCCGCCAACGAGGCGCTCGCCCACCCCGCGTGAAAAGCTTGAGCAACGCGGCGCGGAAAGCAGCCGAGAGCGGCCGGGCGGAACAGCAATGGCAAACCCAAAGAAGGCAAGCTGGCAATAACCTAACTAAATCAGCAATTATGAAATTCAGGCAATTAATAAGGAATGAATGAGCAACAGCACTGAATGCTTGGCGCACCAGAAACGAGGCGGCCCCGTGGGGCTCGTTAGGTGCTAGCGGTACGCAGCCACGCTGCTGGTCTGCAGCTGGAGAGGAGAGGAGAGGCAGCTCTTCACATCACACGTTTGTTCCCAGGCTCCTCTTTCAGCTAGAGCTAACGCAGGTATTAAAAATTACTCACTGAAGTCTACATTTTGAAATCAGCAGGTCTGAGTAATGCCCTTCAGAGGGTTTTGTAAGGAGTTACAGGCTCAGATCCTGGAAAAAAAAAAATCTCCAAGTTGACAAAAGGTTTCGAGCTTTTAGTTAGAAAACAGCCAGTGTGGGACTTCACACCAGCCACCAGGACTGCAGCACAACTCAGCACGGCAACAGCCCTGTGCAAAACGAGATCCGAAGCTGCCCCAATAAAATTAGAAGCGCACCACGCAAAGCTTTCAGGCTGGCTGAGACATTTCCAGAATGTATTCCAAGTCTCCCCCCTGCAAGCAATTGGACAAACGTTATCTGAAACAATAGCACAGCCCGGCCTGAGGGGATGCCATCCACTAGCTGCTGGATCCCAAAACCAAGCAACAATAGGAATTTGACAGGATGCCACTGCTCTTTCAGCAAGCCCCAGAGCAGCGGGAGCGCGGCGCTGATTTTCATGCAGGTCTGGGAGGGAGCAGTGCCTTTGATATCCAGGTCAAGCGTGCAGGAACTTGGTATCTATTCGGTTCAGCTGGATTTATGTGGCAACGGCCAGGCGGCTTCCCAAAGGAAAAAGGAACAGGAGCTGCATGCACAGGATGCAGGAGGCTGAAAAAGGCCCCGAAACTGAGCGGTGCCACCCGGCAGGGGGGATGGTGACCTGAGCACCCCGTCGTGCTGCTGCGATGGACACAGCGTGTGAAAAAGGGAGTGTGTGGCAAAACAGAAGGGCGAGATTATCTCAAAGCACAGCGCTGTGGAAATCCCTAGTATCACATCCTGACATAGCATCACCTGTTTCATCACCGACTTCCATGAAGCAATGGGAGAGGGTTCAGAAGGAAGCAACAGGCCTACGCAGCACGTTTCCCAGGCTCAGGTCCCAGGGGCTGACCCAGACTCGCTCGTTTTAGCCTGACCTAAGAGCAGGGCGCTGGGCAGAGCCCCGTCCAGCCGCCGGCTCCTTGGCTGCGGGCAAGCACACATCAAACAGCGGGGAGTCGAGCTTGGGTGTGCCCAAACCACAGAAAGACCCGCGAGGTTTGCACATGCCCAAACAGCCACGGAACAATTTGCCCTTGGAGAGACCCCGGCCTGGGGACAGGCTCCGAGGAATTGAACAGGAAACCCGGAGGGGCAGCAGCCCTCGCTGCGTTATCCATGCTCGCTGCCAGCCGTGTGCCACTCACAAGCTTGTTGAAATGCAGAAATTTTGCCAATTTGCTTAAAAAAAAAAAAAAGATAAAAAAAGCTCAGCTAGGTGAAGTAGCAAAAGTCCCACGGAATGAGATGTACCTGACGGAGCAGGAGGTCTGGAGGAGCCAGGCATTAAAGTGCCCGAAGTGCCTCGTGGTTTTGCAAACCTCTGCTGGACACTTCCCAGAAGCAGGCTTGCAGGAGAGCTCTGCGTAAGCAGCATTTAGAACAGCAGCTATATAGGATTTCATCCTTCCTGGCACCAGGGAAAACCTGGCTTCAGGCCACGCTCAGCAAAAAGGAGGGCTCCAAAGCCTCCAGGACGACTGTGCCAAGCCCCGGCCAGGTAACTGGGGCTGCGCTGGAGAGGTGCCAGCAGCACCAGGAGGATCGTGCATTTTGCATACATTGACATCGCAACAGCACGAGCAAACACGCAGCTAGGGCTGCCATTTAGGGACCGACCACTGCGCTCAGGCACTCTGGGAAGAGAAAAAAAAAATAAAAGGACGTCTTGCAGCTAGTTCAGGAGTTTGAAACTCAGCTCTTGGGCAGCTGATAGCACCTGGGGTTGGGAAGATGTTGGCGCAGTAAGTCCCTCGCTGGCAGCAGCTCCTTTCTGAACCCCTCCAGCTCAGCAGCTCTGCACAGGGCAGCTCTAACCAACATTTAATCGCTGTTGAACCTGGGACCTGCTGAGGTTCGGGTGCCCACCGACAACCTAAGGAGGCTGAGGGATGGATCCCTCCCGGCTGCAGAGGCAGGGAGCGTTTGGGAGGTACGCCCAGCGACCTGCACTGGGTCAGCCTCTTTGAGATGAGGAGGGGAAAGGCAAAATAAATAAATAAATAAATAAAAATCGCTTTTTCTGGCTCCAGACCCAGGGAAGAGACCTCCGTGCTGTGCTGCGGGGGAGCGGGCGGGCGGCAGGCAGCGCAGGAATGCCAGCAATGCCTGCTATGCGCCTCCTGCCCCGCTCCCCGGCTCAGGGCTCCGTCCCAGCGGGATGCCGCCGGCCAGCCCCAGCCTCCAGCAGCTCCTGGGGGCTCCCCGGGTGTTTTCTCCCTCCCCGGGATCCCCGCTGCCAGGCAGGGTGCCTCCGTGCATGGTTTTATCCTTCATGGAGCCAAAACCCAGCGGGGAGGTAGCCCAAAGGCTGCTCCTTCAGCGGCGGTGAGAACAAGCAGGGAGAGCCCACGTTTGCCCTAAAACAGGCATCAAAAGCTGCGTAAAATCCTTGAAGGATGCGTACACAGCACACGTTTCAAACACATCACTTGTCAGAAGAAATCATTATTTTACCCTAATTTGCATCCGCTCAGCTACGAATTGTCCAGGCCGGGCGTCAGGCTGCCTCCATCGGCCCATGAGGACTGCTTTGGTTTGTTTTGCTTTGAAACATTTGGGTTTATTTCAGCTCCCAGAGCTGTGCCAGTCCTCTTGCCCTGATGCGGAGCTGTGTGATTTTGGGACCAGAGCCACTTTTTTTTTTAATATTATTATTATATTATTATTTTTTTTTTAGCAGCCCTACCCCAAATGTCTCTTCCCAGAACAAGAGGGGTCCCGGGGGACGAGGAGGAAGCAGCCGCCTACAGACCTCAGAGAGCTCTCCACGGCGTAACAGATCCCAACCCCAGCCTGCAACCAAGGTGAGCAATTCTAACGCCAAAAAAACAGCAATAAAAACAAATAAAAGACCCAAAGACATCCCAGCTTGCCCTCAAGCCGCGACATTAAGCACTGCCGAGGGCAGCGCGCAGGGAAGAGAAGCCCACGAGCTCTCCCCGTGCTGAAATTCGGGAGCAAACCAACAAACAAATAAACCCAAACATCACCACCGGGCCCCGGGGGGAGGCTGGAGGCTTCCCGGCCGCACGCGGCAGGCAGGGAGAGGAGGAAGAGCTGCTCCGGTGGCTGCCGGCCAGGCATTATGCTGCCGGAGCGCCGAGCACCCTGCCCGTGCCTATTTCGGGAAGTCGGATGATTTCATAGCCAGCTGACATCCCCTGACCTGAGCCCCCGTGCCGCCGGCTTCTCTGCGCCTGGGGTTGTCAGCCAGGAGCCAACCTGCCCGCACGCCCCCCGCGTTTTCGGGCAGCCCACGCGGGATGTCCTGGGTACCCCAGGTGGCACATGGATATTTGCGTGGGTACGGCGTGGCACACGGATATTTAGGTGGGGAAAGGTGGAGGGTTAGGGATGACCCCGGGGAAGGGGCGCAGAGGGGCACCCCCGCGGCACTCACCCTGATCCGCCGCATGGCCGTCACGATCTCCACCCTGCTGTTGGGCCGCGGCACATCCAGGCTGCCTATGTACTGAGGGAAAGAAAGAGCACGTTAGGGTGTGTGCTCCACAGCTCGGAGCACGGCAAGCAGCCTCCTCGTCCCCCCACTGCGCCCAGAGCCCCCCCAGTGCTTCCCAGCCCTGCTGCCCACCCGCACCCAGGCACCCTCTGCATGTCCCAGGCTGGTAACGCCGACCCGTTTGCAGCAGGATCTCAAAACCCCACCGAGCAGATGGGAACTGGGCCCTGGGGACAGCTCGGAAAGCTGGGTCACTTGGAGAAGGGACAGACAAAAGCTGGGGTGGCACAGGGTGCGGTGACCCTGAGCACGGGACCACAGGGCACGGGTCTGAGCGGGCACAGGGACCGGGCATTACCCCACCTGCCTGTCCCTAGGAGCAAGACAAGTCCCCAAGCGAGCATCCTTTCTGCCTGGCAGATGAACAGAGTTGTTTTCTCCGTAAGAAAACCCTACAACAGCTCCAGTGACTCAGGCGGGGTAGTCCTGTGCAGGCGGTGCCGCAGCCTGTTGGGCGCAGCGCAGCTCGGGCTTCCCAGCAGACGAAGGGACACGAGATGGTCTACACACCACTGTTTGCTCTTTCTGGTATTCCTGCTTGCCAGAAAGAGCCAGATCGATCTTTTTAATAAATCAGGAAGAAAAACTGTGAATTGTGCAAAGCCCAGCTGGAGCCTGGTGCCCCCCAAACCAGCTCTGCTCCCCACTAAGCAGGCACCACGCACCAAGGGGGGTGAGGAGGCTTCCAAACATCTCCTGACCTGCAACCAACGTTTTTTAGGGAGACTGATGGTAATTCAGGGCATGAAACACAGAGCCACGGCAACAGATACAGCCACAAGGCTTCAGCCCTGGTAAAGGAGCACAGCCCCAGCAAGCAGGACTCACTTAGCCCTGCTGGCATCAAAGCCCACGGGGGTGACCCAAAATCCCCCCGGCTGCACCTGCACCAGACGGGATACTGGAATACCCTGGGATAACTGGGGCAGCCTGTCCTGTGACAGGCCCTTCCCTGTTAATTACGGCCCTTCCCTGTTAATTACTGCCCCTTACATCCTATCCTGGGCACGCTGGAGCAGAGTGAGCCCCTCTGGCTGAGCCGAGCCCCGCACCGATCCTGCTCCCACGGGAGGATGCAGGCTGTGGCCACAGCCCCCAGCACCGACAGGACCGGGCAGCCGGTGCTGTGAGGACACAGAGCAGATATAAAAATAACCATCAAACAGCTGGCTTGGCCAGCATGTGCCGTGGCAGTGCAGGAAAGCCTTATGCAACGGGAATTAAGCCCTGCGCCACAGCCCGGGCAGAGGCAGGGGCCACGGGCACAGAGGCAGCAGCCCTGGCCAGCTCACAGTCACACACCCTGCATGGAGCCTCCCTAGTTCAAGATTTAGGTCTAAGAGGAGTCTTTTCCACCAATCACTTTCCTTTTTCTTTTTTTTCCCTTTTATTTCTTTTAATACAAAGCCTGGAAAGCATCACTAGGAAGAATGAGATGGCCACCGGGCAGCCACGCCGTGCCTGGCACCCTGCAGGACTGCCCCAAACCCAGGTACCAGAGCATCCTGCTGCCATCTGCCTCAACCCCATGTGCTCAGCCCCAAACACCCACCTCTCCCCTTGTTCTGCAAGTTTTTTTTGTTTTCAGCTTTTTTTTTTCTTCACATTTCACAAAAACCAACAGATGGACCAAGGCCCTGGGTTATTTCAGCGCCGAGGCCAGAAACCACAAGCGGGAAGCGCCCTGCAGAGGAACAACCCTTCAACGAGTGGTGAGCATCCCCCCAAAAAATGCAGACGTGGAGGTCAGCCTCCAGCCAGCTCCTCCCCGGCGAAGGAGCGGGGCTGGCGTGAGAAACCACCGTGCTTATCAGCCCCTCGCATGAGATAAGCGCCCTGACGGCTGCTCTGGCCCCGCTCTCCTCCAGCCTCTTACTCACAGCCCCGAGCCTCATCCTGCCCCGGAACGAGCCGGGGACACCGCTCAGCACAGCAGCCTCCTCATCCCCCGGAAAACCAAGAGAATTTTTGCCAGTGCGGTGTTTGCACAGCTCCTTGAGCTTCTCTTTATTTTATTTTATCATTTTTTTTTTTGTTTCTCCCGCCTTGAGGTTGTTTAATACTCTTCTGCCCCAAAGAATTTCCTTGAGGTGCTTTCCCAGGGCCACCTCCCGAGCCGTGTCCGCGGGGCTGGGGAAGCCTTGCTGGAGAGGAGCCGCGAAGCCAGGCACGTCGCCTCCCTGCCGGCCAGACCCCGTGCAAAGGTCAGGGCTGAATCATCCCCGGCGGCCAGGGAAGCCCGGGCAGGCTGCCTGGCGGCTCGCCAGCCCCAAAAGCCTCCCTGAGACACGGGGGAAGAGCTGCTGGAGCAGAGGAGCTGTGAGCAGGCAGTGGCGCAGGAGCGGGCATCGCCCATGGGGTGCTCACCCCAAAATCCTGCCTGCGTTCCTCCAGTCCCATGAAAAGCAGGGCAGCGCTTTCCAGCTTTGCTCTTTCCCTCCCCATCACCGTGCCGTGGGTGCTGCAACACCAGGGGGAAAAAAAATGAGGCTGCAACCAGGGCAGAATTAGGGGAGTGCACCCCAAAAATCAGCATGGCACAAAGAGGAAACCTGTGGTGGCGACCCCCGAGCAGCCCGGGAGGAGGCAGGCGAGTCCCCTGCCCTCTGCCCTGCCCCAGCCACGGGGAAATTTACTCAGAAGGAAAGGAAAAGTCAGCGTGCCAGCCGCCTTCCGTGGAAAAGCCTCGGCGTCCCAGCCCAGGCAGTCATGTGCCAGCTCCCTGTGACATGGGGATGTGGGGATGGGGCTGCCCTGGGCGCAAGGTGCCAGAGCCGCACGGCCCCAGGCCACCAGGCAGTGGGAGCCAACAGCCCCCCAGGTCTTCTCGCCCATGAAACAACTTCACCAGCACGGCAAAAACCATGTCCCTGCTGCAGGGAAGCCGGGTGGCACTGGGGAGGGTTATTTATAGCCTGCAGCGAGCGGTCCCGGGCTCCATCGCTCCACAGCTCCTGGCTGAGCAGCCCTCGCCGAGCTCGCTGCTCGAGAGCTGCCAGCAGAAGCAGCCCCCGGGCGCAGCTGCCAAGCCTCTGGCAGCCAGCTAGAGGTGCAGAGCTTCCAGCAACCTGCTGCTGCCTGCCTCCAGTGCTGCCTGGTGCCAGCACACCCGGCCGGGGGGCGAGAAACGCCTGCGAGGGCAGCCTGCAGCAGGCGAGGGGGTCGGACCGGGTGGGAGATGCCCGAGGCTCGGCCCATTTAGGTCCCCTCCGCAGCCTGTGGGCACTGGCACCATCGCAGCCCCGCGAGGGGACAGGCAGGAGAGCCACCCGTCTGCTGGGAGCTGGCAGGGCCGTACTGGATCCCAGTGAAGTCTCCTCCGTGTCCCGTCTCCAAACATAGCCAGCAGCAGATGCTCGGCTCCTTCTCAGTTTCCCACGCACAAAAGTGGAGAAAAAGTACTGACAAACGCCGCAGAAAATGCTCGGTTGCCAAGATCCCTTCAGGGTAGGGAAAAGAATAAAAAATAGAAGCCCATCCAAACCCCAAAACCCCTGCCTGCCAAGAGTGCTGCGGACATCACAGCTCCCCTCTCCTGGGGGACCGCGTACACCAGGGCTCTGCCAACAGATCAGTGAGTGTGGGACTGAAGGATCAAAGCTGCTTCCAAATAATGGGTCTGGGAACGGCAGAGCTACACCTGAGCTGCCTTTGGGTTTTGTTCTGCAGCACCGTGACTTTGGGAACACAAAGAGCAAGCTCGCGTCCCCTCCTCCCTGCCCCAAGCGGAGCAGCCATGCCAGGGCAGAGAGGTGGAGGAGGACAGAAGGTGTCTTTGCTCTATAAATACCCATTTATTTAAACAGGAAACCATTGCACAAGTGGGAATTCATGCCAGCTCCCCTGCGACACGCTGCAGCTCACAGCTCTTTCATCCGAATGCTTCAGCACACTCCAGAGGCCTGCCTTTTGATTTTATTCAACAATTCAGACCACAATGGGCAGAAATTGAAGCCTGCCTTCCCTCGGAGCCAGCTCCCCCGATTCCCACCGGCCCGATGGAGGCACTTCAGAGACACGGAGGCTTTCGGTGCCAGGAGAGGTGGCCAGCAAAAACAGCTCACGAGGTGTGAAGCGCATTACCATCCCTAAGGAGATGGAGCGGGATTTTCCAGCCATGGGGTTTATCTCCAGAAAACGGATTAACACAATCCTCGGAGGACGCTGCGCTCCGACGTGGTGTCCCCTGTGCCAGAGCATACGGCTGCGAGCGGCTCCGGCGCGCAGCGCAGCTCAAGCCCCTCTCCTGACAGCATCGCCTTCGACAGCACCGCTTGCTCTTCATCACCCTGTGTGCTTGGGAAAGGCCAAAACCTGACAGTGGTGACCGCTGCCAGACAAACGCAGCAGCTGGCAGGTAGAGGACCAACACCAGGTACCAGGAAAAGAGGAGGAGGAGGAGGAAGGTGCAGCGCTTGCTGCCTGGGCTGCTCCAGCCTCCCAACACCCGTGTAATTCTGCCAGAGACTGTCTGGGGACAGGACACAAGGGGTTTTCTTCTTTCAAGGGGTTTTCTTCTCTCTGTGCTCCCCCAAAGCTCTGCTCTAACCCCACGTTTCTCATTTTGCCGCCTCGCCGTGCGCTCCGTGCCTCGCTCAGACAAGAGCCGTGTGGGTTTAAGCGCCCGGGATTCTTGGGGATAAAAGGAACTAAAGGAGTGTAAGCATTTAATTAATCTCCACCAATCTAATAAAAGGATGGAGTAATTGCCTAAGCCATCTGCATCCTGCATCTGGCATCAGGAGCTGCTGGAGAAACACACAAATTCAGGAGCAGGGCTCCCACGGCTCGTGCTTGGCAGCAACGCGTGCCACGGGGCGCACAATAAAAGAAAGAGGCGCTAACAAAGGCTCACGCACCACCCCGGTGCCACAGCCACACCAGCAGCACGGAGGAGAGATGAGATGTGAGCATACTGGGGGCAGCGAAGCCGTGCCCCACTGCTCCCCCCGGCACAGCTCTGCACCCTCCAGCAGGACACGGCCATGCCACCAGGCCACTGCACAGAACACGATGCCAAACCCGTGGTCCTTCCCCTGCCAGCACCTCTCCTCCAAGGACAACGGTGTACGAGAGATGCCCACCTCCCTGCTGCTCTTTTATAGGAACTCTTCTACACCAGCATTTATCCAAGTCAACCCCACTTGGAGTATCTCGTCATCGTGACAACCGTATCCCCCATGAACAGCAAAGGGGGTCGGATTTTACGCTTTTGCTTCCTGAATTTCACGTCTTGCTGCCCCCCTGCCTGCCCCCAGCAGACAGATGCTCGGCTGTTCCTCGTGCTGCTCAGAGGTCACGAGCACTCTGCTGTGGGATGCCACAGCCCGAACGGAGTATGAGCCCGAGAGGTCCCAGCAGAAGAAAACCAACACAGTGCTTCCTGCCAAATCCGCAGGCAAGAATGGTTTATATTTGTACGGGGAAACAACAAGCCCTGACTTCGGGCGGGCGGCCCTGACCTCTCCCAGCACACCACAAATGGCACGGGGCTCCTCGATCGGCTCACACAGTGAGTTCCTCGCCTTGGAGAGCTGGGGGAAGAGGTGTCCTGCTGCACCCCTCCACGGCACCCCAGGGTGCCCGTGCCGGAGGATGCCTGTGGTGCCCAGCTCCCCGGGGACCGTGTCCCCAGGTGATGCTGCGGAGAGGCTCGGGAGGGCTCCTTGGCGAAGCAGCGGGGTGACCCCAGCTCCTGCCACCTCCACCACCGCTTGGGACGGGGCAGGACTCCCCCAACTCCCAAATCTCAGCTGGGGCACCACCGAGGGATGGGACCTCGAGGGAAAGGCGCAGAAGAACCGCGCAAAAGGCGCTGGAGAAGGAGAGGGGGGGGGGGGGGAACCAAAAAAACCACCGTGGGGTGCGCGCCCGCTGCCCACCTTGGCCTCGAAGCAGATGCCGTGCTGGAAGGCGTCCTCGTTGTGCAGGGGGATGCGGAGGTCGTGCCGGTCGTCCACCAGGTTGTACTTGGACTTGGCGGGCATGGCGGCCCCGCTGCCCTGCGGCTCGCCCGGCCCCGCCGCCGCGCACCCTCCGCCCCTCGCCACCCACCGGCCCCGGGGCGGGGACGCGCCGCCGCCGCGCAGCGCAGCGCCGGGGGGGAGCGGGGCCCGGGGGGGAGCCCCCGGAGGGCCCCGCGTTGCTCCCGGGGAAGGAGGGGAGGAAGGAAGGAAGGAGGGGCTGGGAAGAAAAAAAAAAAAAAAAAAAAATTCCCCGAGAAAAAAATAAAAAAAATCAGCCAAAAGGCGCGCGCGCTGGGGAAGGCACCGCTGACATCTAGTGCGCGGCCACGGCTCTGCAGCCCGGCGCCGGGGAGGGTGGAAAAGGAAATAGGGGAATGAAAAAAAATAAATAGGAGAAAGGTTGGCAAGTGGTTGAAGAGGCGGTGGGGCTTGGTGGAATAAAGCCGTGGCATGCTCAGACCCCTCGGGCTGGGAGCTGAGCCCTGGGTGTGGAGGGGAGGTAAAAGGGATGAGTGGCTTCGTATCCAGGTACACCAACATCAGACAGCACGGAAATCAAGCAAGCTAGAAAGGAAAAAATCTGTCTTCTATTTCGTGAAAGGCCAGCCCAGGTGACCTGGACACCCCAGTGCCTCCCAGGACCCTTTCCCTTGCTCCACCTGCACAGCCCTGCACATGCCTTGGGTTTCTACGTGACTGCAGTGCAGGCTCCTCACCCACCCCTGGACAGCAGGTTCAGGGCCATCGATTTTTCAGCCTGAATCAGCACACTGAAACTTTTCCTGAGCTTCAGACCTCATTGGTAGCCACCCCCGGGCGTGCTGTTTGAGCCACATCTGACTCGCTGGGTGAACTTTCCACCATCACCAGCTGTGGTGGCTGGGACGGCGCTCCCAGCACGGCCAGGTACGCCAGGAGATAAGGAAGGGCTGCGCTCAGCAGTGCCCACAGGAACGCCTGCCGGGTGCCAGCGCCCTGTGCCAGGCTCGGGTGGGATTGCCCAGAGCTGTCAGCACTCAGACAAGCCAACCAAGAGGTGATTTCCCACCAGAGGCAAGAGGCCAGCAAGCCCTGGACTCCTGGAAACATTAATTCCTTATTTCTGGAAGGGGCAGGGGATCAGAGAAGACTGGAAAAGACAGAAAGCGGTGTCTGGACAGCACTGAGACTGAGGCTGTTCTGTGGCATTTGATGCTCTGGGCTCCTCTAGAGCCTTTGGCCCTCTCATGTCAGCAGATGCAGCATGTGGAGGGGCAGCAGCTCTTCCTGCAGCCAGCCTGTCCCCAGCCCGAGCATGACGTGTGAGCTGCCTGCAGCGCTGGGCAGCACTCCCAGGTCCCAGACGCTCCGCAGGGAGTTGAGGACACCCGTGACATTTCACCCAGTTCCACGCTCCTGATAAGCCTGCGACGTAACCGCGATCTGGGGAGAAGGAGGCAACGTCCAAACTCTCCTGCCCTCGCAGCACCGCCTGCCAAGCGCTCACCACGCCGGCCACCCCCGCGGGCACGGGAGCTGCCCAAAGGAGCAACCAGAGGGCCAGCTTTCCGCTCCTGTTTGCCCTGCAAGTCCGGAACCTGCTTCCTCCCTTTCAAAATCACTCACCACGAGCCCCGCAGTTATGCACTGAAGCTGTGCAACCGGTTCGCTTGTTTGCTCAGTCGCTTCCCGGCGCGGCGGGGACAAAGGTCCCGTGTGCCACACGAGCGGGAGCAGACGGCTGCCACCGAGGCCAAGGAGACCCATTGAGGGGAACACGGCCTGTATAAACCCAGAATAACCACAAGGACAGCTTGAAGGACTACCATTAAGATTTATAAATATATAAAAAAGCAAAGGACTGCTCGGAACGGCCTCACAAGTGCCAGAGCGCAGCGGAGGCGCAGAAGAGTTGCGCTGCAGCCCCCTCGCTGGGGGCTCTCCGGGGGCTCTGTGGGGTCCCTCCGGGGTCCCGGGAGCTCCGTGTGTCCCCTCGGACCCCCTCCGGGTGGCGGCTGGCGCTGCCCTGCCACCTCCTGGGCAAGCCCCGAAGCGCAGCCGGGGAGCGCCGCGCAGCGCCGGCGTGGCGAGGCTGAAGGAGAGCCGGCAGAGAGTGTCCTGCTCGTGTCCGGAGCTGTCTGCTCCTGCTCCTCCGAAGCTACTCGGGCTCTGCACCCTTTGCATCAGAAGGACGTGCTCATGGCTGCTCGCAGCCTGTAGCAGAAGGCACCTGCAGTGCTCGCCGTGCTCCAGGCACCGCAGCCTCTCCGGAGAGCTTCGTGCCCCCAGCCCTGCAGGACGACACCTGTACCTGGGCACTGGCAGCAGCTCAGCACACACCAGGAGGACAAAACCCTCCTCTTGCTGCCAGCCCTCTCGAAATAAGTCATTCGATGTACCTACAGCCAGCTACTCCGTAGCCATCATCACACACGTTGCTTCCACGGCTGTACTGTGGCAGAGATTTGGGAAAACACACCGTGCCCAAGATTTAGGAAAACACACCAAGCCCTGTTTGTGCTCGGCAGGCCCCTCCTCCAGGGAGCGATAAGAACAAGGGTTTTTGGCCATAGGCAAATATTTTTGTTATTCTGCTGGCGGTGGGTGGGAACGAGAAACGTCACGGAGCATGGCAATGGGAGGAAACGGGCAGATGGCAGATTTTGCAGCTCTAAGCAATAAATCGTAATGAAAATTGGATCTCCGGCAGGAAGTCAGATAGGAAAGGTAGGATCCAGCTCAGAGCTCAGCGCTGCAGTCTGCTTTAATGCCCTTCCACAAACTCCTATAGCAGCAAACTGCAGCAAGGCTCTGCTAGGGTCATGGCCCTGCAATTAAACAGCCTAATGAGTAGAGCTTACGCTGCTAACATCAAGTCCCTGCTGGCACGGAGCATCCCAAAGCTCAATATTCATCCAAAATGCATTCCAAGCATCCCTGAACACCGCAGTGGGGCTGAGCAGGGAGTCACCTTGTCCCCTGCCACCTGCACAGTCCCAGGAGGGAGGAGCGCTACGCGGTGCACAGGGGTCAGCACAGCAATGAGCTGCATTTTCTGCCTAATAAAGCCCGGTGATTAGCATCTAAATTGCCATGATTGGGAAGGAAGCAAAAAGTTCAGGAAGGGGAGGAAGGCAAGCCTGCTGGAATTAAGGTCAGGAACTTGCTGGCATTTTCTGACATTTTGTTCTGATGAGCTGGCAGCGCTCATCAGCCAGCCGCGTTTACGTATTTATTTTAGAGGTGTAACTGGGAACAGTTTCAGAGTTGCTTTTAAAGCCACAAGCCTGCCTTTGATACCTGCTGGAGCACGGAGAAAAACATTAACAGGACAGCCTGAAAACTCAGGTTTGGCCTTCACAGACACTCCGATTCTTCGCAACACCATTTCCTTTCAATTTGCAATTAGCCCAGTTTTTTGGAAGCCCTCCGGGGACCCCAAATCTCAAAGCATTTCTGTTGCAGAAAGACAAACACTCGGTGCTCCTGAAATAAACACACCCCCTGGAGCAAAACAGGTGCTTGCTAACATCCACATCCCTCCCTGCCAGCCTCAGCCAGCCTCACCATGAGCTGCAAGCAGGCAGCGAGAGCCAGGAGGTTTGGGACCCTCGGGAGGTTTGGGACCCCCAGGACCTTCCAGGGGAGCTGCAGGCTGTGCAAACCCATCCCTGCGAGCCTCCTGCAGGGCTCCACGCGGTGCCACCACCCAGGCCCAGCAGCCAGGGAGCTCCCACGGCAGGCTGAAGCGTCGCTGCCGCACACTGAGCATTTTGCAGGCAGCCCGTGCAGCACTTACTCATCCTGTGCTAATCTCAGCGGCCCGTTAGCGATAAGCGTGCCTAAATGCCATTAGGAGAAAGTCAACACGCTGCGTCAACACGGCTCTTAACCACCCTCAGCACAATCAGCCCTAGCAGCTCTGGGTAAACTTATCAATACACGTATTAACAGCCATTCATTCAAGAATAAGTGCTTACCTTGATATGTGGGGCCTCTTATCCCCACACCACGCACCCCACAGCTCAGCTCCAAGAACCTGGATGGGACTGGAAAGCATCTGCAGCAGGGCACCAAGGGCTGAGCACAGCCACCCCACTGCTGCCTGCCCCCATAAAACCACCACCCTACTGCACACAGACCTGGCCCCAGCTGCAGGGGGAGTCCCAGCTCCTTAAATCACCACTCTCCAGGTGCTCTGAATGAGGGAAACAAGCTGCACCATGCTGCTGCTGCAGCGGGGAGGGGGAAAAATAAAATAAAATAAAATAAAATAAAATAAAATAAAATAAAATAAAATAAAATAAAATAAAATAAAATAAAATAAAATAAAATAAAATAAAATAAAATAAAATAAAATAAAAAAATGCCAAACCAATAGCTATAGGGGTTGCTGAGGGCAGAGGGAAGGACCCCAGGTGCTCTCCATCCCAAGGAGCCACCTTCAGCAGCCCTCTGGGTGTGCAGCAGGGCACCGTGCTGGCTCTGCCAGCCATTGGGCTGAAATTCATCCACAGCTTGTTGTGATGGTGTTCCTAAGGCAGGTTCAGGGCAGAAAGGGAGGTCTTGAGGTCGGTTTTGTCTGAATACAGAGAATTTGCATGGCCAGACCTGCCCTCTCCATGGGTGCCTGGCCCCCTTGACCCCAGTCCGGAGAGCGTGGCTTTGGCCCTAGCTTTTATGGTGCATCAGGAGGGATGTGGAGACCTGTAGCTTTTGTCAGCTTTTACAGCAAGGAAGAGCAGCCTCGTTATGTGTGCAACAAGCCAGTTGCCATATTCAAGTGGAACATTACCAGAAGACCCCAGCACACAGAGGAGCCGATGTCCTGGGGGCTCTCCCCCGTGAGCACGCAGCTAACTGGAGCTACCTGCGATGTGCTTGCAATTTGCCGAGCCTTGTTTGCTGTATAATCAGGCACACCGCCCCTTCCTTTAATCGCTGTGTAAGCTGCCAGAGTGATTAATTCTGACACATGCCTGCCAGATCTGTGGAGGATGTGTGGGGACTTCGGAGGGTGGCACGGCAGGGGACAGGGACAGCCTCGTCCTGCCCACCGGGTGACACGGGCGAGCAATTCGTGATGGGTCCTTACTCCTGATAAATGGGTAAACAGGCACCCTTTTCCCCATGTCTGAGGACAGTGTTTCAGATCTTGGATCCCACCTGAATTTTCCCTTCCTTCTCCTTCTTGGGCCTGATCCATACCCGGCTGAAGCCCGCTGCAGCCAGCTCAGCCTGCTCGCAGCGCGGAGCGGGGAGTTAAAGAGGGCTTTGTTTCCAAACAATTGCATACGCAGAGCTTGGGAATCTGTAATTTAAACTCGGATTGTGCTTCTGTTAGCAGTGATGGATGGCTTTTTCCTCCTGCTCTGAGAGCCCTGGCGGCGTGCACGGCAGATGCCTGCCTGATTTATGGCTCGCCTCCGCGTGCGGTGGGGAGCAGGCAGCCCGGCTCTCGGTCCTGTGCTCTCGTTAGGGTTTTTTTCCTGTTTGCCTCCTCTGATTGCCAGGGCTCCTCACTCCACCTCTGTGCAGCTGACTTGTGTTTATCGGTCACCCTGGCCTGGATTCAAACCATCTCTGTGTACGGCAGCACGCTGGTGTGCCTCGGGGGCAGATGAAGTGCTAGGGACGGTGATTTTCTGAGGGGCTCAGCCAGTCAGGGGGATCAAAAGGGGACTGTGGGGACTCTGCCCTTCTAGGAAAAAAAAAAGCCCGAACTACCCAAATCCACTCCACCAGCAGGATGCTCCAAAAAAAAATCACCAGCCTAGAGCACGGGGATGGGGAGGGAGGAGAAAAACCTCCCCAGGTGCCGGAGCGCTCACCGCCTGCAGGGACAGGGAGGGAGGGGGCCGCACGAGGGCTAAAAATACATCTTCTTCTTCCAAAAGGGAATCTTGCTGCTTCGACTCTTTCCCATTCTTTTCTGTGCGAGAGTGGTTAATTCTCCTTGGGAGCCCATTCATGGAGCAGATGTCGCTTTTCTTTGTGTGATTAGCCCGAAATCAACAGAAAATAATCCTGTCCTTTACCAAATATTTGAGCACGCGATTCTAGTGCTGCAAGGTGCTTCAGCAGCCAGAGCAGATGCCGGAATTGCCGTCTGTAAGAAAAGTGCATGCAGATGCACGTACACATTTAAAATAGCGTCGCACGAGCTCGGGAGCTGGTGGGGGAGAAGTGCCCCTGCTGTAGAGGACATGACTACTGCCCACCCTGAAACCATCAAATCCCAATAAACTTGCCCTGAATTTGGTGACATTAATGAGGATGCCTGAGCCCATTTGGGGGGAAAATACACTTATTTCTGGTTGCACCACTCCTATGTGTGTGTGCAGCAGCTGACCTGGGACAGCACCACGATGCAGGGACAGCCGTGCTGCTGCTCTGCACAGAGCCTTGTCCCGAAACCACCGGCAGGTCACATCCCCCTCCTTGTCTGGGGTAATTGTTCTGCCAGGAGAACCTTTTTTTGGAGGTGGTGTCTGTAATCTTCCTCCCAGACACACAAAAATGCATGTCGAGGGCCCCCCAGCGCCGTGCCACCGCAGGAACCTGGATCCAGCTCCATCAGGAGTGGCTGCCAGGCAGCTCCCTGCCTCCTGCCGAAACCACTCTCCCATTGCAAAGCTGATTAACGGAGCGCGTCCAGAGTATTTAATTAACTTAATGAACCCTGGTGATAAAATTAGAGGCCGCTTAATTCCTTGTCCCCCCACTGCGGCGTGCAGGTGAAGCAGCTCACGAAGCTGCTGCGACCTGGACACGTGCCTGGTAGCACGCAGCAAGCAGGGACCTAATCTCAGATTAAAAAATAAATAAATAAAAATTGGATTTGGGGTGAAAAAAAGTTTGCAAGGAGCTAAGAATCCCACATAGCCTCCGTGCTCCCCTTGCCTGGCCGCAGCAGGCGCGGGGCTGCGGGTGCTGCTCTGCTGCAGCGATCCCGCCGTAGATGGCAGCAGCCGGCTGGGTTCGTGCTGGCCCTCAGCCTGCCCCCGCTCTGCGCCTGCTCCAGATGCTTGGAGGGGAGAAATGTGTGAAGCAGGGAGGGTTTTGCTGGTGTAAATGGAGCGCCGACCTGCAGCAGCCCCCACAAAAATCGGTGGTCATCCCCCTTTGCCATATCCCGGCACGCAGAGCACCCTTATCGCACTCCCCTTATCTCAGGCTGTGTGTGGGGCTGTGAGCTGTGACCCCGCTGATGTCCTGCCCGTGTAGGACGGCCACGTGGGCTCAGTTGGTGTGAGCAGCCACCAGTATGACCACCACACACACCGAGGCCTCCAGCCGAGCACACCAGGGCTCCCCTGCAGCCGCTGCGGCCTACGAGTCCAGGGCTGCTGGTCCCTGGCAGAGATAACTCCCGTCCCCAGGGGTGTACAGCAGCGTATTTAACTCCATCAATTAAAGCACCTTCCTCTCCTATAGCACACTCCCAACACCCCTGGGACCCCATACCACTCTCATCTGCCTCTCTGCTGTCAGAGGGAGAGGGCTCGGTGTGCAGTGCCACAGGTGCTGGCACCCACAGGGTCTGTAAATTCTCCGGCTCTCGCTGCTTTCTAATTACAGTCGGGTTTCTCTCGTCTCCGTCTGAAGATGGATTGTCACTCAGCCAGAAACTCAAGGCTTGAGGGAGGAATCATCGGGTGAGCTTCTCTGGCCGCTGCTCCGCAGACCGTAATAGTCCCTCCTGGCCCTAAAACGTATGAATCTATAAAACAGATAATTACTAAAATAGCTATGCCATTTCCGTGTGACATAACAATCATTTAAAATGTGTTTTAATATACAAAATGTAAAAGGAAAATGTCCCGGAGAAAGACAAATGCCAAAGAGCATCAATTCTGCCACTTGCAGCAAGCCAAGAGGCTTTTTGTGATGGAAATACAGATTTTATGAAAACGAGAAAAGGCCCAGGTTCCCAGAAGCCCAGTTCCCTGCCCCAAATTACCTCCACATCTCCCGTAAGCTCTGCAATTTGCAACCTGCTCCATAGTCAGGTGTGCAGTGAGAAGCGACAGTACAAATGGGGGTTGAAATAAAAGTCTTGTTCCCTTTGTGCCCATCCCCGCCATGGCAGAAGTTTGAAACCTGCTGTAGCTCCAAGGCCCTGCCTGGATTTCAGTATTCCTCTGAAGCCTCAGCGTCTGGGAACAGGGAGGTGAGACGGGGGAGAAGCAATAGTTCATCTGATCAGGCTGCTCACAGCTGCAAGGGGATAGTAAATTAAAAAAAAAAAAAAAAAAAAAAGGAAAAAAATAAATGAATGGGATTTTTTACAATTTTGAACTTGTAATAAGCTGCACTCATGTTTGTCCAGCAGATAAGCAAACAGATACTCTAAATCCAGCTAGACGGAGCTGTTCAGTGTGCCAGGAATGAAAATGGAAATGAAGTTTAATAAGTCTCCTGAACTCTTTTTCTGCTACCCTAAGAGACAACCAAAAGGCATTTAATTTCCTGCTAGCCAAGAGCACAAACTGCACTCAGACACTTTATAAACCCCACCAGGCATCTCGCTGAGCGATTGAAGGAGTAGGGCAGCATTTTGGGGAAGCCACAGGGGAGCTGCACCAATCCTGTGCCATTCCCCAGCAGCACGTCCCCTTCCCAAAGGCTCAGTGGGTGGACAAACAGTGATACAGGGCCGAGGTAACCATGTAGGCTCAGCTCAGGCTTCCCCTCTCAGGGCTGGATTTGCCATGGGAAGAAGTCTCTGTGGGTGCAGGAGGGATGCCCATGGGTGCCCCTCCTGCACCCCGGAGCGCAGGGACAATGCGTTGCAGGGGGGACAGGGCCAAATCCTGCATGTGGATTTCTTGTGCCTCCTTTCTGCACAGGAGGCACGCTTTCTGTATCAGACACGGAAGCTGGAGAGAGCCCAAAAACCACAGCTGTGTTGAGCAAATTGGATCTTTATATTAGAAACCGAACTGGGGGGATCTGTGAATGAGAGCAGCTTGAGGCGAGCTAGTTTTCATCTGAAGAGGGATGCGGCAAGGCAAACCCACCTCCCACCGTTACCTTGGCCACGAGATGATGGAGATGGCAGGTTGGTGCTCACTCCTGTCACATCTCCTGCTATCAGTGCAAATAGCCCCCGGGTCTCCCACCCTCTCCAGCTGGTTTGGTGCAGCCGCCAGGCTTTGCCCATGGACCCCACCACTGCGCCCCAGCCTCAGAAGGCACGGAGAGGTTTTTGGCTGGAGAGCAGAAGGGCTGAGACACACAGCAAGGTGAGACGCATCCCTGAGACAAGGTCAGAGCCTCTGCTCGTGGCAGCAAGGCGATAACCACACGGAGCTGTCACTGCTGCCGTCCTCTGCCGCCCACCCTACCCGGTGGCACGGGGCCGCACAGCGCTTTTTGGCAGGAGCGACATCCATTCTCTGCCATTCTCTGCTTCCTTGCTGCCCTTGAGTCGCTGTTAAATTTGTCAGGAGTGATTTATGGCCGTGTCAGCGAGAGGGACCCAGGCTGCTGGGAGGATGTGGGAGCAGCTCCTGTAAGGCCGTGCAGACCGGGCGCCTTGGAGAGAAACGCGCAGCAGCAGCCCAAAGTCTCACTGCCCGGGCGTTGCTCTAATTGCTCTGTATTTCACAGCTTCTGACATCACCCGTGGGCATTTCCTACACCTTTCAAACGCTGCTGAGTCTGTTTGGCAAGGCTGAAATTCAGAGCGTGGTTAAGGGGGGGGTCAATACCTCCAGCATCTCCACGGCGTGCTGAGATCTGACGCGCCGCGCTGCCTGCCCAGGGGTGCCACGGCCCCCACCTCACACAGCCATCAGGGTTTGGTGCCTGGCCTCCAGCCTGGGTGCCTGCCCCTCCTGCTGCTGACCATGGTGACCAATTCCCTGGTTTTGTCTCTCTCCCCAGCACTGGCACAGCACCACCGGAGAGCTCAGGTGGGGCAGGATGCATCGTTGCTCCCAGCAGACCTTCAGAAGCAGGCGCGGGGAGGTGACATTTTCCTTCTGCTTTATCACCAAAGCAATCTGGACAGAAAGCTGCTGTCTGCTGGAGTGAAATGCCACAGCTGCACCCAGCCTGATGCGTATTTGCTCACGGAGAGAGCCCCCGTAGCCACTGATAAATCTGTAATCAGCAGGAAAACCAGCAATGGAAACAACCCCACACAGGAGGCTGGGGGAATGAGTCCCATATCCATGCAGTGCACCCACGAAAGCATGACAGCACTGGAGCTGCTCCAAACTGCCCTACCTATGGGTGAACAAAACACAAAACACACCAAATACAGCCGACTGCTCTTATTGTTGCTATTGCTGTCATTGTTATTACATATCACTTCTTAATTGCCTGGCAAATTCGCAACAGCTTGGAAAAAAAACACAAAGGGAGGCGTGTAATTTGAAATGCTAAAGAGAGCAAGAGTAAAGACAATGAGAACGCACCGCATCTAGTGGAATTACTGGAGAGGTGATGAGGACATTCTTAACCTTAATTATTTCAAATCAACTCATTTTGTAGAGTGTGTAGGTTTATGAATCAGATGAAACGTAAATTGATTCATAATTTCCCTTAATTTTCTGCTCTTTGGAGAATTTAAATCCATATTAACATAACCTGGAACAGCCAGTTACTAAGAGACAGGGGAAATTAGCATGGGCGAAGCTGGCAGAGTGGCATTTCGAGGCGCTGCAGCCCACCTGCTGCTCGGAGCTCAGGGACGGGGCTCATCAGCAGCCCCCCCACATCCCCAGCTCCTGATTGCTGCCAGCTCCCTTGGGGCCAGCTTCCCACCCTGGGCTGCAGGGCAGGGAGGTGAGGAATGACCCAAAATACGTCTCCACACCTTCCTGTGGTCACTTGCCTTTCTTTCTGGGTCGCTGCCTGGGGATATCCTTTTTTCCCCATTCTTTTTAGGTGGTGTGGGGTGACATCCTCCCCAGGCATACGCGGGTAGATTTCTCTCTGCTGTTGCCTCATGGAAGTATTTTTGCTTCCAGTGCTTTTGACTTTTTAACATTCCCCTCGTTACCTGCTCTTTTGGAGTTATCCTTCTGGTGCATGTTTTTTGCTACCCCAAACTGCCCGTTAAGGGATGCGTACACGTCAATCCCATGCAGTACTGGCATAAAAACAAATAATATAAATAAATAAAAAAACAAAAAACAAGCTTCTTGCTGTCTTCCTTGGTAAATAAGAACTGCACAGGAATTTTGACAGAAGACGAAGCTTTTCCTTTGGGAAATAAGAAAATGCAACGGTTACCAGCTATGGGAAAAGCGATTTAGCCTGGGGGACTGCAGGGGTAGGGATGCCCATAGGTAAAATTGCTGCCTCGCTCGCTGTACCCGCAGGCTGAGGGGGTGCGGGAGGAGGTTTGGGGGCAGCAGCTGAAGGGGAACGGAGGAGATCAGAGCAGTGCTGCCTGAGAGAGGCGCAGTTGTGCCGTGGCAGGTGGTATGGGAGCTCCTGGAAGCGCTGGCACTGCTGGCCTGGGGACCGAGCAGAAATCAGCTTCCCCCTCGAGCCAGCTGCAGAAGTATCCCAAGGGGGCATTCGCCTCCGAGCCCCCACTGCCAGCACAACCCTGGGCACCCCCAACCTCAGGCCAGCACCGCCAGGCTGCGGGCTCAGCCCCGCTTTGCATCTCCCTGCGGTGACATTTGGCTGCCAGTCGCTAAATCCCGGGGCTTTGTGCCGCCAGCAGTAAGCCTGCTTTCATTTTAAGTGTGTTTAGAGAGGCTTTGGGCAAATCTCACCGACACAGTGAGGTTATCAGCCCTTTGCAAGAGCAATGGGGCAGCGGAGTGCCCACGTGGGAAGCGTCACCAGCTGCAGGGGGGTGCCAGGGTTTGTCCCCAAGTGGGATGGAGCCACGATGCCCGTCCCCAGGAAGGCAGGTGTGGTGGGGACAGCAGCACACCAAGTCCCCACTGGGTGTTGGTACGAAGACTTTGGGATCTCTCTCACAAGGCACGTGAGGTCTGAGAGCCAAGGGGTTTCCCAGAAGGGATGCTGAATCCAGTAGAAGGGGTTTACTCAAATCAGAGGAGTGGAGGAAATCTCCATCCGCCCGCTGCTGGTGGAGGAAGGGCTGCATGGGCACGCTCTCGTCCATACATCAAGCACATCAGGTAGAAAAACACCAGGTCACAACGATATGAGCTCCACAGAGCAGAATCAGTGGCGGAATTTGGGTCAGGACGGAGGCATTTCACGGCTGCCTCTCCCACATCCAGAGGCATCATGCCATCAGCAGAGCAGTAAATCAGCATTTCTGAGACTGGCTGCCCAATTACCAAGGCGGATAGATTACCAACTTGTGATGCTCACACTCAGGAACAGGATTAAATAAATAATCAATCCCTCCCCTCCTCCAGATTCTTGCACATCAACAATTACCTGGCACCTGGGGGCAGGCAGGGCAAGGTGGATGAAGGGGATCTGCACTGCTGGGCTAAATCCCTGCAGGGTTTTTTATGAAGGCAGGACATGGTGTGCATGGTGCTGCCCAAAAAATATTTTCTCCACAGGCAGCTTTTCTTCTCCTTCAGGGCTGTGACCCCTGTGTTCCTGCAGAGCTGCAGGCTGTGAGCGCACACCAAGGCCAGCTTCGTGCGAGCAGTTTGAAGGTGAGGTAACTGGTGTGTATTTCCCTGTCCTTGCTCTGCAGTGCTAGGAAATGCCAGTTCTGCCTAGCATCTTAATAAAAATGTACATCTTTAATTGCTTTCCTCCAAGTACAGTTTTCCTTCTCTATCCTGCTCGCAGAGAAGTTAAAACTGATACAAAGGGGAGCTGGAGAATTTGCAGCTCTGGGGATGGGAGAGCTCAGAGCACATCCGTGCCCACGGGGGTGAGGAGGAAACTCAATTTAACTTGTGTGTTTGCAGGGAGCTTACCGGGGTCAGAAGGCACTGTGAATGTCCGTAGGGAGCACACCTTCTCCTCTACTTTTTCCTGAAGGGCCTCTCTCTGAAGAGATTTTCTTCCTCTGGCTTTGGTTCCTGCTGCCTGCTTCTCCTGGGGTCTGTCCATCCGTCCATCCATCCCTCAGGACAGCCCTGCTCATCACTGCTGGCCACATTTGTGGATCTGAGGGCTTGGGAGGATCACAGAAACTTTCTGCTCGGGCACTGAAAACCTGGGTGTGCTCTGACCCCGAGTGCCAGCTACTCTCACACACGTTCACTGCATTTTTCCCCACTAGAAGTTTGCCGAGTTTCCATTGCTGGCCACTGCGATGTCTTCATCAGCCGCTGTAAAGACCGATTTAACACCATACATCTCCCCACACAGGTGCTTAAAGACTGCAATCATATTTCTACTTACCCAGCTCTTTAATAAGCTAAGCAGACTGAGCTCCTTAAATCACTCATTGCTGTAAGGACGGCTAAAGAGCTTATTACCTCGGAGACTGCTCGGGGACAGCAGAAGTGACTTGTGACCTGGCTTCCTATGGAAAAATGACACCAAACCCTGTGCTGCCTCTGTACCCATTTCTCTGCCCGTCCCATCCCATTCTCCCCTTCCTCCTCCTCCTCCCAGCCCGTTGTATGACATCTGGCAGAGAGACCAGGTGCCACTGAGACGCACGCAGTGGCAGAGGTGTGGAGAAGCCCCCTCGCTGCCTCTCCCTCACCCTGCCCAAACCACAAGGGGAGCAGCGTGCCCCTAGCCCCCAGCCCTGCCCCACATCCCCACGGGGTGCTCCCAGGCTGAGCCTGGCACTGTGACACCAGGAAATCTCCTGCCAAAGAGCGAAATGGGTTAAAAATAACCCCACAGCCATGGGATGAGCCTGGGGGAAAACACAGCACAGGGAGAGCTGCGATGCTTGGGGCCTGGCCGCCAGGTGCTGGGGGGCAAGGGTGAGCTCCTGGAAGGGGTGACGGGCACCAGGAGGAAAGGCTTGTTGTCTGTAGGGTGAGTGATGCCACGCTTCTATCCCTGTGCTAGAAATCTAAATATCTCATTGCGCACTTGCGTCCTGGGGACTTCCCCGCTCTCCTGCTTGACCCCGGGGGTTTGGCTTCTTTTAATCCCAGCTCACTAATGGGATTAGTGCTGGCCGCTGGTCCCACTGCCTGCCCTGAGCCAGCAGCAGCTCGCTGTCACGCCGCACTGCTTTCTTTTGGGGTCTGCGGCCTCTCCCACAAACAAGAGGTTGGGACGGTCATTAGCGCGGGCAACGAGGAGTGCACGCATCAGTAACCATGGCAACCCCCAGAGCACCAGCCTCCGGGAGAAACCGGGAATTAAGCTCACAGGGAAACGCTCAGGGCTTCACGTACAACTAAAAAATAAAAATAATAAAAAGGTCTGAAATAGTCCAGTAAACCGGGCAATTTGCAGCCCAAGTGGGAGCTGCTTGCTGAGATGTCAGGGATGGATTTGGGAGCGCATCCCCAGCCTTATGGCTACGTGTGCTGTCCTGGGGTCTGAGTGCCACCTGATCACACAGCACTGCTTTCCGAGAGCTGTCCCCATCCTTCCTGGGGAGCATTTTACCCTCCCTGCCCAGCACAAGGGGAAGGTTTGGGCACAATGGGGTCCAGCTGCCCCAGAGCCCCAAACCGCTCAGCCCCCAGGGGCTGACATGGCTGGAGCAGGACGGCTCTGCCCTCCTCCTTCCCACTGCTTATTTCCATAGGGATTGATCTTTAGGAAAAAATGATGCTGTAGCACAGCTCCCAAAGCAGTGATGCTCCGCAGCAGGTGCCTGGAGCCTCCCTAATTAACGCTGGAGAAACAACCCTGCCACTTTGGGCTGTCTCAGGGTTTGGTGCCACTTGGTTTCCGCACAGCTTTTAGATAAAGCTGTTTGCTGCTCTCCGTGCAGGCACTGCAGCTTCCCCCGTAAATAATTCAGGCCCTGTCTTTGAGGGCTCAGCACAGGAGGACTTCCCCTCGCCGCGCTGCAGAAAGCCTTCGCTCTGCATTCCTGAGAGCTCATCGCCTCATCACTATTTTCCTTATCAGTTACATAATTGAGGAGGCGCAGAGCCACGCCGCCGGGGAGAAGTTATTAGACGCCACCCCTCCGCAGAGCAGGGAGAGGAGTGCTGTTTGGCACTGCTGCCAGATCACAGATACGGAGGGGCTGCAACAACCCCCGGGCACCCAGGGGCTGCACCGTGCCTGGGGTCTGCTTACACAGCCCAGGGCTGGGATGTTGTGTGAGCAATGAGCTGTAAATACCTGACAGCTGGGACCTAAAGGAAACGAAGCCCCTTCTTGCCATTTCCTAAAGAAGCTGCTTTTCCAGAGCTGTTTTTTTTCCAGAGTGGCGCTCCCTGTGATGATGTTTGCCCTGTGCTTTTAGTGTAATCAGGCCCCGAGTGTTCACGTGGGGATCTCTGCTGCTGCCTCCCTGAAGCAAAGAGATTTGGGGAGGGAAACCAGAGGGGAACAGGGCAGGAACATCTGGCAGCTGGTGTAGGCTGGAGGGGACCAGCAGCCACGCTTGGAGGGCAGGATGGCCAGGCTCACCCCCAGCAGGGGCAGCCCACAAGCAGCCCCAGCTCAAAACCCACATCGTGCATCCCCCCATCAGCTCCAGGGGCAGCCCCACTGCCCAGAACCAGCCACAGCACGCACCCCACACAGCCCTCCTGCTGCCCAGATAACACACAGCTCCCTGCTTACCTCCCCTCGAGCACATCCATACACAAACAACATGCACAGAGCACAATTAAGAAGCAAATCCGCACATCCCATGGCATCACAGCTGACATAGCACAGGCTCTGGCTGCAGCAGAGAATATTTCCATCCACCAGGGAAGACACAGGGAGACAGCAAAACCCCCAAACCTCCAGCTTCTAAACTAAAAGGAGCTTAGGAGCTGCCCTCTTGCTAAATGCCCTGCCAATTATCGTCCCCAGCTGTGCCTGCAGCTGGGGACCCAGGTGAGCACAGGGTGGGCACGCAGGAAAAAATTGCAGGGCTTGCAAGCATGCTCCAGTTAGCCAAGCTTTTACCAGGAACCCATGTACTTCAGCTGAAAAAAATCATCAGGAAAATTTTTAAGGATGAAAACTCCGAATTCGTTTGGAGCCCTGAGATACCGATGCTCGTGGCCCTCTCCTGCCCACCCCGTGGTTGTGGTGCACGGGGTGTGATTTGCAAAGGCACTTAGCGTGAGCCTGGAACCTTGATCTAAATCCAAATTAAATGTGGAAATGTGGTCTTTTTTTTTTTTTTTTTTTTTTTTTGGCAAAAGAGGCTTACTTCAGATGAGTTTTTATCCTTACCGAGAGCACTTTGTCCCTTGCAAATTACCTGCAGGCTGGCAGTCCCTACATTTATTTTGCAGGTAATTAAAGGGCCTTTTCCAAATGGCACAGCATCGTCCCCTCCTTGCTGCTCCTAGCGAGCCATGGCACGTTTCCTCTCCACACCACCCAGAGCCAGGTGCAATAACCCTGCACCCCGCCAGCTGAGGATGCAGTGCCCTCGAGGCAGGTCAGCTGGGCTCCCCCCGTCCCTTCCCTCCTCTCCCATCCCTCCCAGGCCATGGTGCGCGGCCGGGGTCGCCCCCACTTTGCTTCCTGCCAGAGGCAGGCAGGGCCAGGAGCGGCTGGCAGGATTTTTTCCCTTTCAGGAGAAAACGATGAAAGATAAATTCTCTTTGGCCCGGTGCCCAGCCGCCTTTGAAGGCTGCTCTCCCCTGCTTTATTGTCTCCTTTGATGCGCTTGCTTTGATTTGAGCTGCGGAGGCTGTACCAGGGCCCTTGCGCTTTCCTGGCAGGGAGGGCCAGGAGGCTCAGGGAGGGGGAGCAGCATCCTGGAGCGTGGCTGAGCTGCTCCCAGCTTTGTAGGAGCACCCTGCAAACGAGGGATGGTGCTGGTGGGGCTGGCTGTACCCAGCCCTGCGTCTTCACTAGACACTGTGGGATCAGCCCTGGGGCCAGCTGGGTGTTTAACACCGTGCCCCTGCTCACCTTGGGGCTTCCCGATGGGAAATGCTGCCAGCTGCAGCAGGCTGGGGCAGAGGTCTGGTAGCGGTGGGGTGCCACCAGAACGGCAGCCATGGGGCTGTGCCCACTTCCAGGTACTCTGGGGTCTGTCTGTGTGCCGATTTTCAGTCTGTGAATGGCACACGTCTGTGCGGTGTGTGCGTTAATCAGCCTGACGGCTGGCACCACGGCAGGTGCCTGTGCGTAACCGTATCATGTCAACACATTCACTTTTATCAATCAAGCCCGTAAGTACATGGAAAAAACCTGACTCGCAGGGTTTGACAGGATTTATTTCCCATTAAAGCACGCAGATTGGAATTCCTCCTCTGCCTCGCGAGGAAGGCAGGGTGGCAGCTCCCGTGGCAGCTGCGAGGCCGTGCGGTGCCGGGGACCTGTCCGCCCGCGTTTTCCTCATCGCCATGCCCTACATCCTCCAAACGCTCTCAGCACCTCCCCAGCAGCGAGCTGCCTGTGAAAGAAGGCTCCTTAATTCGGGAGCGTTTCGCTGAATTCAGACATTTTGTTTTTTGGGGAAGTCGGCGTTGTGCCAAGCAGAGATTTTCCTCCAAGCAATCCCTGCCCTCTCCTGCGCCGCCGGGCTCATAGCCGCTGCTCCTGAGCCAGCCCCGTGCCCGTGCCTGTGATGAAGGGGAAGAAGAGGCAGATGTGGGCTGGATCCCACATTCCCCTGTCGCAGAGATCTGACTTGTGCTGTCTGCTTTCCCCTGGATTCGCAGAAGCCCCTGCAAAAGTCGGGAGGCAGCAGAGCGTGATTAAGGGGAAGGCGAGCTGCGGATGACACTCGCTCTGGAGAGCAGGGCTTCCCCCTCCCTGCCCGTGCTTTCTCATCGCACAGGACGCCTGCTGGGGGCATGAGTCACGTTGTTTCTGGTGATGGATGAAATTAGCTCCGATGTGAAACTGGAAATAAAAAGCCATTCACCAACAAGACAGCTGCACCGGCGCAGGGCTCAGGGCAATGATCCTCTGTGCCTCTTTCTGCTCTTGCGCTTTTCACGAGCAGCTCCGTTTTAATTAGATGGGATGCAGTTCTAAGTCAACTATAAATGATATTATCAAACTAATAGAGTGTGATCATGGCCCGGCTTTTATTGGGCTGGGAGCCGCTGCTGGCTGCCATGGGAACTGTGTATTTCACAGCGCTCCTCGGCTCTGCTCTGTGCAGGCTGACAGAACTGTACAGAGGGGAGGAAAGAGGTGAAGAATCCCTCAAATTCCCTTGCCTTGTGGGGATCTGTTTTTTTCTCCCCAGAGAGCCTCCCACGGGGACCTCATCACCCTCCCTTGCTGTGCCAGGGACACCTCCAGCACCGCTCTCCATTTGCCCGGCTGCTGCCCTGCTGCGGCTCAGCTGGGCGAGGACTGAGATCAGTGAGGAAGGGAAGCAGAGAGAAGAGGCAGGACTCTTCTCCCGAGCTGCAAAGCCCACGTCGGAGCTGAATCGAGCAGTGTGTGCCCTGGCTCTGTCCCCAGAACAAGCCCCCTCTGTCCTCTCCGCAGGAAGCTGTGCGTGCCGCACCGCCGAGCCCCGGCACAACGCGCCTCTGTGCCAGACGGAAAGGGGAGCCCTGAGGAACCAGGCCCATGTGCAGGATAGCTTCATTATAACCGTGGGGCCGCAGGGTTTCTGCCCCTGCTGCCTGCCCCAGCCCTCCAAAAAGATCTGCCCGTGCTCCCCGAGCGAGGGCGTCGAGCACCAAACCCCACGCCCCGGCTGAGGTCTCCTCGACGCAGTCCCAGCTGCACTGATTTCTTTTTGCACGGGACTAATTTTTTTAATCAGAGCGATGTAGGACATGATCAGAAGCAATCAAAGGCTGGCAGACTAATTAATGTCAATCAGCACGGTTTATGGGTATCGGCCTTGTCAATCAAACTCGATGTTGGGTGTTGGTGAGATCGCTTTGGCTTCCAAAGCTAACACCGTACCGAGAGTTTGTTCTTTCCTCAGACGCTCATTAAAACTACAAGTCCTTCAGGAGCCCGTTAAAGGACACACTTAAAAGTTCTCCAGCACTGACAATTACAGAAAAGTGCTTTGCTAAATCCTGCTGCAGATTAAATACTGAACTGGCTGCTGTGCTCCTGGGTGCCCTGCGAGGTGCAGCTCAGCCCTCCCAGGGCCAGTGTGCCACTGTGTCCTGCGAGGAACCCAGCAGGCTCCTTCCTAATTCCTGAAGCTGTCCTGTTTTTTATTATTATTATTATTTATTTTTATTTTTATTTTTATTTTTATTTTTATTTTTATTATTATTATTTTCCCCAGTTTTGCTGCTGTGCTTGGTTTTCCTTAAGCTTTTTGCATTCAGTGGCCCAAATCCAGCTACAGAGATGCCTCAAAGCGAGTGAAGACTTAATGTTGTCTGCTTTTAAAGCAATTACAGCCAAAATTCATTAATTTTGCCATACGCTTGGCGTTGATTTGTAGGTGTCATAAAAGGGGATGTGAGGTGAAAAGTGCTCGTTGCCTGAGCGATGCTGGGGGAACACCTCCCTCCCCTTGGCAGAGCCCCAAACCCAGGGAACAGACAGGGGCGGCTTTGCCTTGTCCCTGGGGAGATGTCACTGTGGGCTGGTGGCATTGTGTCCCCAAGGGAAAACGCCTTCCCCACGGACTGCCTGGTGCCTCGGAGGTGCAGGGCTGGGGTTGCGAAGCTGTCCTTACTTCATGGCAGTGGCTGTGCCAGCTCCTTCCCACACGGAGCTGGAGAGGCTGAGCCTCCGCCCCGCCAGCTTTATGGGCCCCCCTGGCTCTGAGAAAGACCGGAATTTGTTTCAGCAACACCATCAAACGTTACGGCTCAGCCAGCAGGTCTCTAAGTGGCCACCGTTAAATTTATCTCTTTGATTGCTGGGCTCACATTATTAAGCTCCGGAGCCGTATAACTTTATCCCTTCCCAACAGCGCTCAGCGCTCTGCCGGGCGGAGATGCCTCAAGGACCCGGCACTCCAGGCTCGGCTCTGGTTGCGAATGAGCTGGGAACTCATTTGCTTTCCCCTCCCTCGAAGCAATTCATTTGCAGCCCAGGTAGCTGAGAGATCCTGGCCGTTCGAGGGGAGCGGAGCAATTCCTGCAGCTCCGTTATCCTCCTGGCACAAAACCACGCTCTGACGCTACGGTGGAAGATCCCAAACCCTGTTAGTGCTGGAAGAATCACATTTTATCCAAGCAAATGCCTAATTGCTCCTCGTTGGGCACCGGTCATGGGACATTAGGCATCACTAAAAGAAGGCTCTTAAAATACGAGCTGAGTGGTCTCTCCAGCTCCGCGTGCTGGTTACAGATGCAGAACGGATTTGCTTCGCTGTGTTTTGATCTTTCCATTTGCAGGTCACCGGGCCACCACATCTCCTGCCCAAAGCCCGGTTACCTGAGGATGCTTCTCCTCCGAGGGCTGCTGTCCTCTTCCCAGGGGGAGGTCAGGAGGAAGATTTTATGAGGATTTATCCTTTATTTAGAGTCTGGGACTCTCCTGGTACGGCTCACTGCCTACCGCCCGTTCCCCCGTGTCCTGGCACATACAGGTAAAGATTTATGCGATTCCAGGTGCCAGACTCACCAGAAAGATTAATGAGAGATAATTTCTTACACAGAGGTTTATTGAGCTCCCCGAGTTCATTCGCCAGCTGTGAAGCGAAACATCTGACAACAGTTTCTGAATACTAAGTTCTGCCTGGCACCAGCGCAGGAAGGGAACAGTGCCTTTTTCTGCTCCTGGCTCTGAGTCTGCTGGGCACAGCCAGCTTCGTGTGCTCAGCCCTGGGAGCTGAGATGTCTGCTGGGGACAGAGGAGGCATTGCTGTGCTCAGCCCCACAGCATCCTCAGCCCCACAGCCCCACAGCCCCGTCCAGCTCCATCCCCCTGCTGCTCCCCCAGCCCCAGGGCTTCTCCTCTGGGTGACGGGGGACGAGGGCATCTGCTTCTCTGCTCTCTGCCCTCCCAGCTCCTGACAACAGGACATCTCCACAAGGATCCCGCTGGTTCCTCACGTCCCGACAAAGAACTCGCAGGGATGTGTTTGCAAATGTGCTGTAACGTCAGGGGAGCTCGCATGGAAACGCGCTGCAGTGCCAGCGCTTCCCCTCGCCTGCTCTTTGTCTCCAAAGAACTGCAGAAGAGGGCAATCAATATGCCTTGCCAGGGTCTTTTTAACGCTTCCTGAGACATTATGGTCGTAATGTTTCTCCGGGCTGCTGTGATCAATACATTCGAGGCGCTGAAGATGTCAAAACCACATAAAATCTTTATTAAGGCAAAATTAAATGAGCACGCGTGAATCAGTGACTTAAATGGATATTACCCTTCCAGGATGCCAGGCCTGGAAGCCAGACCCACGTGAAAAAAAAACACCAGGGCATTCAAAGTTTGGATTAAATTAACGAGAAACTCCAGCTTTTTGGCCAGGGCATGGAGCTGAGGAATGCAGGGGGACGGGGATCCCAGAGCGGAGCTCGGGGCACCTGCCCTCCTTCCTCCTGCAGCACTGGAGGGAGCTGGGGAGGTGTGGTGAGTCTGGGGAGGGCAGGACTGAACACCTGGGTTCATCCTGCTCGGAAAATTAGCCCAGATTTAACAAAATAAAATGAAATAAGCTATATTCCTGTATGGGGGTGGGGGTGACGGCACGCGGGGATGCGCTGGGTGGCACCGGGACGCGTGGCACTGCGTGGGGAGGGCACGCAGCACCCTGCCAGGGACAGGGGTTTGCAATAAAAGGGAACGGGCAGCTTTTATGACCTGCCCGATGAAATGCAGCCCGGCAGCTTCCAGCCCTCCCTACCGAACCACACCAAGCTCTCCAGGAGCTCAGAGCCATGGGGAGACCTGCGGGTCCGGGGGTACCTCACTTCACGTTCTCCTTTCACAGAGGAAGCAGTTTGCCAACACACCTGCACAGTGGAGAGCTGAGATCTGTCTGCCCCCAGCCTATTTAGCTGTAATTTAGCTCTCCCCACCCAGCAGCCAGGCTGGAGGCAGCCCTCCCCACAGCCAGCCGGGCTCCCTGCTCACTGCGATGCATGCAGAGCCATGTTTTGGGGCCGTTTGGGAACCTTCCCTCATTTTCCAGTGCCACCAGGCTTAGCCAGGGCACTGCCACCCAAACCCACGTCCCATGGGGACTCCCAGGCCCGCTCAGAGGTTACAGCGAGGGAAGACGAAGCATTTGGCACGCAGACACCTCCCAGAGGCCCGGCACCTGCAGGGCACCGCGAGCACCTGGAGGCCCCCCATGCTCAGCGCCGGGGAGGAGCTGTACCATAAAGGCTCGTCAATTAATTACCTGAAAGAGTAACAGAACGTTATTAGATACTTGGGAGTTAATTGCACGGGTGCTAATCATGTGCGTCTTAATGGCACCAGTAGAGATGCAATATGCACTTCCATAGGTATCGCAGAATAATTTCGCCATTTAATTAATTCCCGCTAATACCTTTTAAATCACCTGCTCTCTCCCTCCTGAGGGAGAAACTTCTCCAGCCAGCTCTCCTGCAAACTCATGGTTGTTGGCAAGGATGCTGCTGTATTTCTCAGCGCATTTATTCCCAGCAGAGCCCCCGCAGTGTCACCCCCGGGTGACAGGGTGTCCGCGGGGAGCCTGACAGCCCCGCGATGCGCCGCTCCTAAGTTGGGAAGGCTGGGGCAGGGCTGCGTGAAACGTTTTGGACAGATCGTGACGGGTTGAAAAGATGGAGACTCCAATGAGTTGTGGATCTAGGTCAAATCCAGCCAGCAGAGCCAGGAGAAAACGCGGAAGGAAAATGTAAACAGCAGCAGGCTTTTTATTCCGGTCTTCTCCAAATGAAATGCTTGGTTTAGAAAAAGCAAAAAATATCCAATTTCGGTGTGCTGGAGATGCAGTGTGACTGCTTGTCTCCCTTTTCCCAAGCTAAGGGGGCTGAGAGCTGCCCGAGCCCTTGGGGCAGTGTTTCGGCTGGACAAATATTTCAGCTTTTGCAAGCTTTTTGCTGCTCCATGAGCGACTGGCACAGCACCGGGGGGCAGGAGGGGACAAGGGGTTTGGGCTGTAGCTGAGCTGCCTTCCCTGCTGCCCCCTCCAGAAAAGAGACCACACGAAGCCATCGTTCTCACTGGGCTTTTATTGTCCCGCTGGCCCTCGCTTCCCACCCCTCTGCCCAGGGACCAAGCCCCTTGCCACGGCTCGGGGGGCAGAGAAGAGGAGATGTCCCCAAACATCTGGGCTGGGGACATCCCCAGGTCTCCACCACCCGAGCAGTGGCGAAGGGCAGCACCGCTTTCCCGGGCGTTTTTTGCATTATTTTTTTTTTTATTATTTGAAATATTTTCTTTTAAAAATATAGTAGCTGTGGAAAGCAGCCCTCTTTACAAACGCTTGATGCCGGAGTGAAAGGCATCGTCGCCGTCCTCCTCGGTGCCCACGGGCGCTGGCACGGGACGGGGGCTGCGGGGCGGGCGCGTGGCAACACCGTGGGGAGGGACGGAGAGACCTTCCCGAAAATAGAAATCTTGTGCTGAGTCGTCTGCAGTGAAGGAAATCCATAAAACACCAGCGTTAGGTCGGCTCCGGCTTGGCACGTATTGCTCCCGGCAGCACCGGGACGGGGCTGTCCTCGCTGCCACCCGCTGCGGGGACAGCGGCACCGGGGAGATTATAAATAGGGAACTGTAAACACGACCAGTCGAGATAAGAGACATGGATAATCACGGGATTCACCGGTTCAAACGCCTGCCCTCCCTCCAGCCCCTGCACCCAGGGCCCCGTCCCCGTGCCACAAAAAGGGCTCCGGTACTAAAATCTTGGGTCCAGGCTCGGAGGCGGGGTGAGGTGCTGGAGGAGTAGAAAGGGACGTCGCACCCTCAGCGGTCCTTGCTCGGAGGGGAGAATTTGGCAGGAGGGAGGGGGTTGGCTGGTTCAGGTCCTTTGCGAGTTCATTTGGTTTTCCCGGAGGACTCCTAGGGTTATACCTGAGATGAAGACGTCTTGGGGACCCTCCATAGCTCAATGACAACGCGGTTGGTGCTCCGTGCCCAGAAGAGCCCTCGCTGCTGGGATGTGTCCCTCACGCTCGCCCTCCCCGGGGGCTGTGTGAACCCACGCCGGGCAGGGGCACCCGTCATGTGTCCAGGATCTCGCTGGCGGGGGACGGCTCGTGGGGGATGCCCTGTGTGCCGTGCACCGTCTGGTTGTGGGACAGGGAGTTCTGCTGCAGCTCCAGGGCGATGGCGTTCTGTGGGAACTCCTTCACCTGCCGCTTGTACTCCAGGAAGGTGCACGCCTTCGTGGCGATGGCGATGATGTTCTTGCCGATGAAGATGGTGGAGACCCTGCTGTCCTGGAACAGGACCATGTTGATGGCCCGGATGAAGATGGTGACGATGTTAATGGTGACCAGGCTGAGGACGGGGTAGAGCATCATTTTCTGGGGGGCGATGTGCTCCCCTTGCATGCTGATCTCGCTGAGGGACACGCAGGGCAGGATCAGGAGGAGGATGTAGCAGTAGAAGAACATGAGCCCCTCGGCCCAGATGGGCAGGCCGGTCCTGTGCGGCTCCCACAGGTTGGCCTGGATGTCCAAGATGTCCAGCAGGTCGAGGGCCACCCAGAAGAGGCGCCCCCTCAGGTCCTCCTTCTTCCGAAAGGTCCGTATGTACTCCATGCTGTCCAAGGCCACCAGCACCAGGTAGAGCCCCGGCACGCAGATGGAGAGGAGCAGGGTCAGGGCCTTCCTGGCCACCGTCTCCAGGTTCTTCTTGTCCGCCTTGTAGTTCTGAAAGATGAAATACAGCTTGATCTCCAGCACGAAGATGTACAGGAACCACAGGATCATGGCGTAGCCCCGCTTGGCCGTCTTCACCTCAGCCCCCACCCACACGGCCACGTAGCGCAGCACGATGAGGAAGCAGATGTCCCCCACCAGCACGATGATGCAGACGCCGATCTTGCGGGGCCCCTGGTTCTGCTCCACCAGGTAGGCGTCCATGAAGGCCATGCTGGTCATGATGACGATGGTGGTCAGGCAGACGTGGCGCTTGTCGGGCGGCGGCAGCACCATGGTGAGACGAGCGAGCCTCCGTGCCGGCACTAGGGGAACAATCCAGCTGGCGGGGCACAGGGGGACATCAGCAGCCAGCCTGGGCACCGTGGGCTCTGTCCCCACCCCGAGGAGCCCCTGTGGCCCCGTCCCCAGCGAGCTGTGCCCCGAGTCTGCCACCAGCAGCCAGGGCTCACACAGGGTCCCTCGTCCGCATCCCCATCGCCGTCGCGCTCTCCAGCCCCGTGCAGTGAGGAGCCTCCTGGCTCCCAGTCCCGGATCCTCCTGCAGATCCCTGGAAACGTGGCAGGCGATCAGGCAGCAGGGAGAAGGAAGGGGAGGCAATCTTGGAAGGGGGTGTCCCTGTGTCCTCACGGGGAACCACCTCCACACCGATCCCGGCGGGGCTGTGCCGTGCCCGCGATGAACACCGTGCGCTCCTGCTGCGCCTGGCCGCGTGTGCCTCCCTCCATCCCGTCACTCTGGAAAAGACAGAGGAGAAGGGGTGTTAGGGTCAAGTACAACAGCCCCCCGGCTTCCCCAGCCCTGCAGTGTGACCAGGGCACTGCTCACATTGCTCCCATCAGGCACTGTCCCCCCATGGGCACCCAACACCGTGCCCTGTGCGTGCCGTAACGCAGAACGGGTTTTTGTGGAAGATAGAGGCTGAAGGGAAGAAACCGAGCCTAAAGAACCACAGCCACCATCCGTCCCCTCACCTCGCTCCTTCCCAGGCTTCCAGTGAAAAATATACAGCCACTGCTCCGACTGCTTTTAGACCTGTGCCAAGTTTTACAGGGGATTTACAGCCCAGGATGGATAACTCCAGGTAAATTCGGTTCCCGAGGACCTCCTCCCGAGGACCTCCCTGTGCCGAGCAGACTTTCCAGCAGACCCAAGCTCAAACGCTGGGTTCCCTCCCCTCCCTTCAGCCCCTGCACAACTCAGGGCAGCCCGGGATGAGTCCTCAGCCCTCACCAACGCAACCCCCAGCACCCAGCACTGTGCCTTTCTGCATCCCCTGTGCTCGCTGCCAGCTGCTGGGCACTGTGCAGGGCCTGGGTTTGTCCCCACACACACAGAGCCCTTCTCCAGGTACGAGGAGCAAGCAGCCGCTGGCAAGCCCCGAGGGCTGCTGTGGGCGGTGGAGCCGCTGTCAAAAGGCATCCTCGTTAATGCCAGCAGGCACTTCCCCGAGCCCCGGCCCTACCTGGCAAATTAGTTTAATTATTTAAGTGATTTGAATTCTGCCTATAAATAAAAGAGGGAGCGAGCGAGGCAGAAGTACACACACCGCTCTTCCCAGGTAGTTAGGATGCCGCATTGCTTAAAGCTTCATTTGCACTTTAATTGCTTTGATTTATTCCAGCTCTCCTGGATGTAAATCTGGAGCTCTCCTTCAGCCAGTCCTTCAGCAGTGCTGCCGCACCGCCCTGCCCAGCACACCCCCCAGAGGTCACCACCAAGGTGCCCTGCGCTGCCCAGCGCGTCCTCGGGGACACCTCAATGCATCCCCAACCCTCCTGCTGCCACCTTCACTCCCCAAACCTCAGGCTGGGGGGCCAGGAGCTGCCCCCCAGGCGGTCCCTGGGCACTGGCCAAGGGGCTGCTCGTGCCCTGGGCTGGCTTCTGCGCCCAGCAGCTGCTCTCTGCCTCCTCCCAGGCATCTCAAGCGCATCCTGTGCAGGAAATGAGATTGAGGCGGATTTTTTTTTTTTTTCCGGGCCCTGCCCACTAATTGTGTCTGAAGGAGGAAGCAGCCCACTTGCTAATGATTACATATAATTTGCCGTGTAGGCAGGGCGAAGCGGGCAAAGAGCTGCAAACTGTTCCCAGCCCCTGCCCAGAGCAGGCAGCGCAGCAGGGCTGGCAGGAAAACCGGCCCCTGCCTGCAGCCGCGAGCGCATCCACGAAGCAAACCCCTTTGGAGGGATCCTTTCTCTTTCGTTTCCCAAAAAAAGGAGCTCAAGCCAAAAGTACAAGAACCATTGCCTGTCGAGGGAGAAACAACACAGCTTTGTTTCTGTGCTGGTGCCCACGGCACCCCCTCGGTGCCCCAGCTCCATGGCCACGTGCACTCAGCTCAGCACCCAGGGGTGCTCCGGCCAGGGCTCTCCCGGTGCCTGGAGCTGTGGGGAACACCTCCCCGCTCACAACCACGCTCAGCTGGGTGATGTGTGACAGGCGTGTCAAAAATAAAGCCCTATTCAGACATTTCAGGTGCTTAAACATAGTGTTCGGGGAAGGCAAATGATTCATTTTGACTTGTACAAAAAAAACGTAAAAATGATAATACCATCCTTCAACGCTATCAAAACAATTTGCTGCTTCCCCAGGAAAACCTGCTGTTTCTTTAGAGGAATCCCTTGGTGTTTCCAAGTCGGGGGATTTTACTCCAATCAGGCCCAAACCCCATGAGTAAAAGCACCCAAATCCCCCGGGCTGGAACACCCAGTGCCCGCAGGTGCTGCTGCCAGCCCCCTGTTGGGGAGGACGCCTTGTTTTTGGCTGGCTGGGCTGTGCCATGCCCGTGCCTGGGGTGCAGCACATCGCGTGGTGACCTGGTGCATGTTCCTGGCTACAGAGGCATAACCGAGCTGCTCTGGGAGTCCCACCTGCGAGCAAAGCCCGGTGGCTCGATGTGCCCTGAGTTACAAACGGGCACGAAGGCGAACACAAGCCCAAGGCAGAGCAGAGCACACAGCTTGGCTCCGAGTTCGGGGGCTTGGGGCTGCTCTTTTACGCACGATTCACTGCCAGGTCCTCAGATAACCCCACATTGCCAATGTTAGGGGGAAGGAAAACAAGGAAGCAGTGCACAGCCCTCATACAACCACTTTTCCCCACTGCCAGATGGGGAGAAGCAGCGGTGCCCCCGGCACCCCCTCGGCAGGGGTTTGGGAGGTGGGAGCCGGGCGGCACACGGAGCATCCCACGGGCAGCCTGCTGCTGCTGCTGCCTCCGGGCTGGCCTTTGATGAAGAGCAATGGTCCTGCTCGTAATTAGCACGAGGCAGCTGCCTGCTGCTGTGGTGGAAGGGCAGGAGCTGGGCTGGTGACGGTGATGGAAGGAGAACGTCTGCTGGCTCCAGCCTGGCTCCTGCCCAGCAAAGTGACACCGATCCTGCAGTGCCTGCGGGCTCCCACATCTCTGCACCTCCTGGGGGGCTTGCCTGGGACAGAGCCCCTCCGGGCACAGCAGGGCTCACCCTGCAGCGACACCCAGCCCGCTGCTAATCTGGGCTGAGACTATAAGCACCTCGGCCAGGAAAATTCCTCCTCAGCATGAAAAGCCCCGCGGTGCTCCTCACCCTGAGAGGTGAAGGGAAGCCTGAATGATCTACAGACCCCCCTAGTAAAGGCTCCTCTGAGAACACCGTGTCTTTTTGTTGTATTCAAGCACAGGAAAGCTCACCTCACAACTCAGGGGACAGCAAGCAAGGGAGAAACGGTGGGTGACTTGCAAAACCAAGGGAACTTGGCCTTGCCGCGCGCTCACTGAATTTATTTTGGCAAGGCTGGCCCGCTGTTAATTATCGATGGCAATAGCTCACCACCAAGAAGTCTTAGCAGAAAGAGAGCTCCCTGTGGCACATCCTCCAGCAGACAACCGTGAACGTGACTGGTCTTAAATTAAGTTGGGGGTCAGGGGGTGCCACTGCACCCCCAGTGCCAGACACTCCACAGGGTGATGTGCCAGGGCCACGGTGCTGGCCGGGCTCGGGAAGACAGAAGGCACACGTGGCTGGTCCTCCACGTAGACGCCGAGCTCGGGGTCGCTCTCCCAACCCTACACACGTCCCAGCCAGCAGTGTGGGGGCAACGCTGCCACCCACTGCTCCGACATCCCCAGGAGACAAACAGCTCACCCATCTCGGCCCGGCGCAAGAGTGATGCCAGCCCAGAGGTCGCCAGGGAGACATTTCTCTTCCTCTGTTTTCCAGCTTTCCTCCTACCAGCCATCTAATAAATCTAATAAGATCTGTCTTGCTGGTGTCTAATCCAATTGCAGCACCCAGAGACCAGACTTCTTCCATCACTCACAGACCTAACCAGCTACATCCCTGGCATATGAGCCCGGCCACGGGGCTGCTGCAGGCTGCTCCAGAAGAGAGCAATTACCTGGGATCAGGGCTCGCTCTCCCAATCAATTATATGCCATAGGTTTTCCTTGGGTCACGTCTAATTGAATTATTGAGATGCTTGAACACCGTGGTCAGAAGCAGCTGACTGAAGGGCCTGAAGTCTGGGTGCTGGGCGAGGTGCCTTGCGTAGCATCCTGAGGTAACCACAGCACCTCTCATTCCTTCAGGAGAAGATTTCCAAGGTTGCATGGAAAGCCATCACCCAGCCTTGCTCTCCAAATTCGCTCCGGCACCTGGAAGCACAGGAGTGGGTGGCTCTGCTCCACGGAGCATCCTGGGCTGCTCCGGGCCCCGGTGCCTGCACGTTTCAGCCGTGCTCAGAGGCTGAAAAAGCTCTCCTCATCTTCAAAATGAGCACGCAGGCAGGATTCGTGCTCCCGAGCCTCCCCATCCCCACAGGGCCAGCACCCACACGTGGGGGCTCTGTTCTGCCCCTTCGGTCCCGGGGCTGCTGGATCACGCTGTTCCTACAGCACGGGCTGAAGGTTTTCAGGCTTCCTTTGCTAATGAATTTTTTCCTCCACCTCCACACACACATACAAAAAAAAGCCTTTTGCCAAATAAAGTGAAAAATTGATCTTTGCGGAGGGAAAACCCTGCTGAGGATGAGCACACGGGAAGGATCCCCACCCGGCAGCGAGCGGCAGCCTCTCCCCCAGGAGGATGTGGCAATTTGCTGCGCTGGAGCTCATTGCCAAGGAGATAAAATATTTATGGCCACTCTCCTTTGCTTTCCGTTTCGAGCCGTGGTGACTTATTTGTGACAAATTTACATGCATGTTCAAAGGCGTCCTCACATTCCTTCCAAGAACAAAAGGTTTGTTCCTCCACGCGGTGTTCTGCCAGCCGGGCCCGGCCACCCCATCTCCTCCGTGCCCGCGTCCGTCCCCGTCTCCAGTGCTCATTTTCCTCTTGGTAATGATTATCATTATGCTAAGAAAAATGGGTCATTTAGAGCGGCTTCTCCCCAAATGAAAGGCTGTGGGACACAGGATATCATTAAAATTCTGAACCTGGCTGCCAGCCTCCAAAGCTGGCTCCGGGCGTCTCTGCGGATGCTGAACCCCTTCGCGCCCGCCTGCCCCTGGGTGCCCAGCGCCCTGCTTCCCCGCGGCCTGTGTTCCCAGCTCCTGGCAGCACCAGGAGGGGCCGAACGGGAAATGTTTTGCTTGGAAAGGCGATGCAACTCCTGCGCGAGCCTGAAATTGTTGTGTGCAGAGCTGTAAGGCAAAGCTAATCCATTTTGCAGCTCAGCCGGCTCCTGAAAGATGCTATTTAGGGATGGGGAACTACGAACCGCTCTGCCCCCCGCTGCGATACAGGAGGGGCAGGGGATAT